TATTTATTATATTTTGCACGGTTTCTAATGTTGATAAAGCGGCCGGCGCAGGCACTTAGAGAACGTTGAAAACGTGATAACAAATTATCATAATCATTATTATTATCATAATTATTATTATCACTATCATTATCATTATCATTATCAATCTCATTATTATTAGCATTATCTGAACTTCTTCATTTCATTTGTGCTGCTTTTTGGCCTTTCTTTAAGCGCATTTCTTGGCCTTGTCAGCAAAGAAATTTTACGACGCAAATTATTATATGAAAAAAAAAGAGAGAGAAAATAATAATAACAATAAACGCAAGTTGTTAAATTTGTTTCAAAGGCAATTTCTTGACTGCGGTTGGGCGTGGGGGGGTCACAAAAACTTAAGAAAACATGGCTCAAAATTCACACACAGCTGCGTTTGAAGCGAAAATAATGAGAAATATAAATTAATGCTGCAGTATTGAGCGTTCGTCATTTGAATATCAGCAGAAAATATAAAGGCAACATTTAAAGAAGACTTTAAAAAGAGCTTAAGTAAACCAATGGGAATTTCGACTTTATCTTTTATTCAAAACTGAAAACATATGATGTATCAGGCTGTTTATAACTGACGGAGTCTGAAGGCATAAGCCAAATAATGTGCTAGAAAAAACATTAGGAGTCAATGCTTAACAACTATCGATATATAAAATATCGATAGCTAGACGTGACTGAAATATACACTATTTTAACTTAAGAATAAATTGTGAGCATATTTGTAATGGGGTATATTTAATATGCTACAAAAAAAACATTAAGTTCATGCCCAACAAGCAATACAACAACTATCGATAACATATCGATAACTTGGCTTGGCTGATATATATCCTGCTTTAAGCATATTTGAGCCAGCATATTTGAATTTGGCCAGATTTAATAGAATGCTACACAAAACCCCTAAAAGTCAATGCTCAACAATAGCTTTAATAACAATCGATACTGTATCGATAACTTAACTCAAGTTAACTTGAGATTAGAGTATATATGAACCAGAAATCAAATTGCAAGCACATTGAAAACTAGGTATATTCAATAACATTAAGACCAAATTGCAAGCCCATTGGAAATTGAGTATATTTAAAAACAAACATTCAAACTCAACTATCGATAACATATCGCTAACTCGACTTAGCTGAAATATATCCCATCTTAATTTCTAGTTTTAGCAGCGCAAAAGATAAGATTAATTTCGAGCATATTCAAAATTGAGTAGCCAAATATTTAACAAGCACACAAAAATTCAAGTCCATTGTCAAGTTCGAGGACGTCATAAATATTTATTTGTATTTATTAAAGGTATATTATGCTTGAATATCGCTAAGCTATGTCCAGTACACTTCCCAAAAAGCGTTAGAAGAAGAACTTGGAAGATCTTAAGCGATCTTAAGAAAAAGTTTTGAATAGCTAAATGGCTATAGGGCATATGCCCTTCAGGCATTGAACCCGTCAAACTTAATGTCTTTAGCTCGCATCGTCAATGAGTTCATATAGATTATGGCCTGTAAGCCATCAAAATGAAATGTCCAGCCGCAGCTGGGTGTAAAATTTAATGATTGAAATATTATAGCTGGGTTTTTTGTTCGAAGTAATTGGTAGCTGCTTTCATTGAGGGTTTCCAGCGAATAAGCCCCATTAGCGAAAAGTCTCTTTTTACAAATCATTTCCATATAGTACACACAGAGTTATATATATATAATATATTTGTGCACATCTGTGTATATAGTCCTATCGATGGGACTCGCTCTCGATTGACGTAAGCAACAAGTTTCAATATTTGCAATGCCTACCGCCTGTGCTTTTGTTTGGCTACTCGAGATGTTTTCTATTATTATTTTACTTTTTCTTTTTTTTTTTTTTTTTGCATTAATTTGCTTTTATTTTATTGCATATTTTATTATTTCTGATAACAAATACATGAAGTTTTTCATTTATAATGAAGAGCGTGAATCTTTCAAGCCAGCTAAAATCCCCTCTAAACATTTCTCTATACATCCATATATATATACATATCACATATGTCAAGTATTTGGTTATTATTATTTTTATTTTTGTGGTGACAAATGTTGTTTGTTTATCTTATCTGCACGTCAGTTCATTTCCGTTGGCCAGTTGATCAGCTTTTGCCACATGTTTGACGGCTTCGCCCCACTGTGCCCCGACAGCTGTGCTCACGTGAAGAGCGAGCGAGAGAGCAACAGAGAGCGAGCGAGCGAGAGGTTTTATAAAGAGCGAACACACAGTGTCTTGAGCCTACTCTCACGCTCTTCGAAAGTTAGAGCTCGTGCGCTTAAATGATTCACACGCAGTTTCAAAATAATAATAATTATAGTACACGAGCACTTGGCACAAAAAAAACAAAAAAAAACAAAAAAGTGTGTTAAGTTTGTTTGGAAAATGCTTTTGAAGGTTAGCTCTTGTTTGGGCACTGGCGACAGTTGTTTAAACTTTGTTTCCAAACTTTTTTGTCTGTCAATTGTTTAAACAAGAAAATAAAAAGTTCTCAAATGAAGAACATGAATCAATTTGCATTTGTCGTTTCTACTCTCGATTCTTTTGGCAATAAAAAGTAAAGGCAAAACAAGTTTCCCTTTTCGCATACATTTAGAACTAGTTTCGGCCTTTAAAGTTAATCAAACAATACCAAAGCCCCGGCAACGTTTGCAACTGACGCACATGCTAATCTTTATTTGATTTGATTTGATTTTATTTTTGGCTATACTATTTTTCCAACATATGCAGATTTCTACAGACCTGAATAATTAGCATAAACAACAACTCCGTAAAATATGTTGGACTTTTCTGGCCGTTTGTTTTATGTCGTTTTTTTTTTTTTTTTGGTATTTTATTTCAAAACCCATCTCGTTTCTTTTTGATTTGTTTTAATATTCCAAGGCTTTGCAATTTCCGCATTAAAGAAAATATCTATCAATCCGTCAATAGACAAATTTGAAATCGAAACCCAAACAAAAACACGCAAGAACTTTGCTCGAAGTTCAAATATCCTTGATATGCATAATTGTGATATAGTAAGACGATCTGAACGATTTTGTTGCGGCTTTTATAGCAAATTTCCCATAGATCTTGAGGGACTTGATTAGCTCCAATAACTCAGCTAATGATGTTGATCAATAACATATATATAGTTATATAGTTATCCGATCTGAAAGATTCCGACGAAGTTTCTCTACCAAGTTTCACTCGAAAAAGCTTAACTGAGAGCCTAGCTCCCATCGATCTTGAGGGACTTGATTAGCTCCAATAACTCAGCTAATGATGTTGATCAATAACATATATATATATAGTTATCCGATCTGAAAGATTCCGACGAAGTTTCTCTACCAAGTTTCACTCGAAAAAGCTTAACTGAGCGCCTATTTCCCATAGATCATGATGCACTAAAATATCTATAAATCAGCTGATAATGCTGATCAGTAAATATATATACTTTATGGCGCTTACACTGTCTTATATACAAGGCATTACACATTCATGCCGTAGCAATATTGACATGAAATGAATGTTCAACATGCCGTATACGTAATGCGTGGAATGCACGATCCCTGCGCCGGACGCACGTGTCTTTAGCCCAGTGCAAATATGGGCAAATATTGGACACAAAGTGCAGTGATAACAATGCCTGAGCAGCTACCGAGCTAATCAAATAAACAAGCTTCGTAATTCTCAATTGCCAACTAATTACACACACAAAACGCTAGAAGCGGGCGACGTGGCAGACGTAGGGTGAGAGGAGGGGTTAGCGAGGGGAATTTTCTTGAATAAGTCTCTCGCTTGATGCTCTACTAAGTAGACAGACAATCAATCTATAACCAAGTATATTTCATACTGTGATGCAATCTGCATTGAAAATATACAGATGACTAATGAAACACGACAACAACAATTATATACTCTCTCTCCCTCTCTATTCTATTCTGTTTTTATTGTTTTTTTTTTTTTTTGTTTTTGTTTGTTTTTGCTTTTGGCCTTATCATCTAACTGCTTTTGCGCCATTAATTAGAACCGCTTCCTTTGGTAGCGCTGATTAGAAAGAACTTCTCGATGCTTTATGTGGCAACAAAAACAAAAATATCACACAAATGGAAAGTTACGAAAGATTACCCAAAATAATATCGGCACAAATAAGTTATACATCACGTTTAACCGAATCTTCTACTGCATTCGCTCAGTTCTGTTTTCAAAGTATCATAATTCTTATTATTTGATACACCTGAGAATATCAGTTGGGAGCCGTTCAAATAACCAAGATTCGTTTGATACTAAAAACATTTTACGACTCATAATAAAACTGGCTATGCATATACATATTATATATATACATATATATAAACAGCCTCATTTTCGGATGAATCTTTAGACAAAGATCGTTAAAATAACAACAAATAAATATAAATAGTTAGGTATCCCTCTGAGGTCAACTATCTATATGATCTGCAGATCCTCATCTTCAGTAACTCTAAAATCTAATAAGATTTCGCCGAGGCTTTAGTCACAGGTTCCAGTTGGAAGAAAATTGAATAAGAATCTAGCCAAATTATAAATTAGCTATAAAAATTGTTAAGATCTGATCTGATTTTCAATATCAATTAAATCCTGAAATTTCCATCTACAAGCTAATAAGATGCTAATAAGAGACCAATACTGTAAGTGAGCTGACGCATGTCTAGTTGGAATTTCATGCTTATTAAAGAATTATGCTATTAAGGTGAGCCAACCAACTATACAATCTAATAAGATAACCCCGAGCCTGACATATTCTAATTGGAAAGACTCATCAATTAGAAATGTAATACAAATCTAGTGTTGGCTATAAAAAATTGTTGAAATCTGATTGCAAAACTATAAATAAACAAGATAAAAGATTTCTAAACAAAATTTGAGCTAGAACTTCAAGCGTATATAATATAATTTGATCTCTTTATATAATGATGGTAGTTAGTTGGACTCACCTGCATAATGGGATAGGCGACGCGTCCTTTGCCGAAACGCTCGATGATGGTCAGCTTGCTGGCGCTGGCGCTGGCTATGACACCCGCAATGTTCGATGAGGAGAGAACGGGACGCAAGGGCTGTACGATGGGCACAAAATCACGATTACGCTCCGCAAAGGTGCGATCGAACGAATTGCGGCGATCGCTCTGCGAGCGTCTATACGGTATGTTGCTGTTGTTGTTGCTGTTGTTGCTGCTGTTGCCAGCTGTTGCTTTGGTTGCGTATTGGGAGACGCCCAAATAGGATTTGGATTTGCGATATTGTTTGCCCGGATATATGATGGCTGCCTCCAGTTGTTGCGACTGCTGCTGCTGCCGCGGATCGCTGCTTCTGCTGCTGCTGCTGCTACTGCTGCTGCTGCTGCTGCTGCCGCTGCTAATGCTGCTGTAGCTGCTGCTGCTGGCCTCCGAGCTGGCGCTGCTGCTGGAGCCAGACGAGGGCAGCAGGCCGGCGGGCAGCATGGCGGGCTTTGAGCATTTGGCGCAGGGCACGGCCAAGGCGGCTGTTAACATATCGGCGGCACTTACATTGCTAACGGCGGCTGTTAATGTTGCTGTTGCTGTTAATGTTGCTGTTGTTGCTGCTGTTGTTGGCGTGCTGCTGTTTTTATTGCTGCTGCTGCTGCTGTTACTGTTGCTGACGGCGTCTTGTGTGCATGTTGTGCGCTGCAGCAGCAGCTGCTGCTGGCTGTTGCTGCTGCGCGTCAGCGGCTGAAAGAAGAGCTGCTGCCGCTGCGGACGCGCCTTTTTGCTGCTGCGCTGCTGCTGCTGTTGTGCTTTGTTGCTGCCAGGCTTGGCACGCGCTGCATTGTTGTTGTTGCTGTTGTTGTTACACTTGTTGTTTCCATTTTTGGTCTTCTCGTTTGTTTTCATTTGATTGTTGTTGTTGCCGCTGCTGCCATTGTTTTTGTTGCCTTGTAGCACCTGTGGCTGCTGCTGTTGCTGCTGTTGCTGCTGCTGCTGCGACTTCTCCTGTTGCTGCGTAGCTTGTTTGTCCTTGTCTGCCTTCGCCTGTTTTCCTTGGGCTTTGTTTACCATTTTCACAACGGTAACGTTGTCGTCACACTTAAAACTTTTCCAGCCGTTTTTGATTGTTTGCCTTTTTTTCACTAGTGTTTCGATTGTAATATGTTTATATTTTGAAATTTTTGTTAATTTTTGTTTGTCTTTTTGTTGTGTATTTTCGTGAGTTATTTATTTTGGGCTTCTCTGCGCTTACGAATGTGCTTCTGTGCTTGTTCTATGCGCAATTGGCTTTGGCCGTTATTTCGCTTAACGGTCGCTGCTTATTGTCGCCTCTGCTTTAGCACGCTCTTGCTTACGCTCACGCGCTCACTTGCTCGCTCTCTCTCTCTCTGGCTCTCACTCTCTGGCACGCTCACTCACAACACTTGAGCACACACACACATATACAAACATACACGCACGCACGAACACTGTTAGATTCACTTGCACTCTCACGGGCTCTGCTTGCTTGTTGTTGCTGTTGTTGTAGCTGTTGTTGTTTCTGTTGTTGTTGTTGTTTTTGCTGCTGCTGCTAACTTGCGAAAGCTTTCTGTTTTAGTTATTGCCACGTTTGTTGTTGTTGTTGTTGTGCGTTTGTTTTTCTTTCTTTTTTGAATTATTTCGTTGTTGTTTTTTTTTTTGTTGTCTTGTTTTTGTTTTTAATTTGATTTTTGTGGGTTTTGCCGTTTGGCGTTGTGCTCGACGCCGCGATTTTTTATTAAATGAGCTTTTGTTGTACCTTTGAAATATTTATAATCACAAAATTCATTAAATTGCGCCTTGTTGTTGTTATTGTTTTCGTGGTCGTTTGTTGCTGTTGCCTGTTATTGTGGTTGTAAATGTTGTTGTTGCTTGTTTTTCGCTGGCTCTGACTGATGTTTTATTTTGTGCATACACTCTTTTTTTTCACTGCGTCCTCTGTTCGAAACGTTTGCCCTATTCCTTGCTGCCGATGGAAGAGAGGGAAAAAAATAATAAAGAAAAATGCATTTTAGTACAGTTATTGTAAAGTATGCAAATTAACTGTTGTGTTGTGTTTATGTCTTTTTGCCAGCATATCCCCATTAACCTTGTTGCCGTTGTTTATCACCTTTGCTTTGCACTTGTCTTTAGTTTTGTGTTAGAAGGAAGAAGAAGCTAGGCAAACTGCGCGGCATGTTTGCGGTTTTTTGTTAGTGTTTTGTTGTTGTTGTTGTTGTTTTTTTCGTCGTTTCCAATTCCAACGCGCAATTTCTATTACTTTCGCGTCCGCCCGTTCGACAAGAACGGCAACAACAACAAAACATTGCTTGCCATTTTTGGCGTTCGACTGCTCTCTCACTCTCTCTCGCTCTCGCTCTCTCTATCTCTTCCGCTTTTACTCTCACGCCCGCTCTGCGTGCTTTGCGGCCCTCTCTGCGGCCCACAAGAAGATGATGTAAGTTTTTTTTTAAATGTTAAACTGTACCTACATACATACATACATACATACATACATCAATGCCCAATATGTTTGACGTACGTATGTATGTGTATATCGCAATGTTTTTATATTTACAAACGATTACAAGTGTTATTGTATGTGTGAGTGTGTGTGCGTGTGTGTATACGTATTCACAATTGATTTGCTTATGGCCAAAGCGGCAAAGCGGCATCCAGAATTGGGATTTTAATGCCATAAAGCGCAATATTGTTTAAAATTTGCATACAAAAATACATTAACATACATATACAAAGTACAGGGTATATTGTGTATTTGTATCTCTGTTAAAATGCTAATTTAAAAAAAAGCCACCTTACAGCTAATGACCCCAAGATTTTAATATTGTTATTGACACTAGTGAAGCGAAGGGGAAATCCCAATTTTGAAGCCTTCGATAATTTATTTATGTGATCTGCCACATTCTTATAAACATACATACATACATGCATATATAGCCATATGGAATTCTATTACACATTCTGAGAAATTGCTAAATTAGACTCTGTTTATTGAAGACGCCCCCAAACACACCTACAGAAATTATATGTAAATATCAATCAAAGCAACGTTGAATAAGTAAATGAATTATGACATGTATGCATATGTATGTATGCGTAGTTTCTACTAAACAGCAATTACTCATTGTACTCATGCCGAGTTGGGAGTGAATCGACTTGAGAATCGTGAAGAAGTAACTCTGTTTTGAGAACTTTACCTCATTGAAGACTGTTGAATATTTGAAATATTTGTCTAATCTCCTTGGTTGGATAACTGGAACTTTAAATAGCTCTTCATGCTGACTCTTGTGGTTAGCATATGATTCGCATTTGGCGATTTGTTAATGGCTTGACAAAAGCTGTACAGCTTCAGGGATTGTCCAAGAAATCTCCTCGATCAGAACGGAATTTAAAAAATTTTTGATTACATGCTGTTTAAACTTACTGAAATGAATATTTTGTCATAAATTGAATTTAAATAAATAATTGTTCGTATTTTTAGCCTGCTATATGAAATACTATATGTATATACATAGATCTATTTCAGTTGTGTGCTTTAATATATATATTATATTTTATACAACGCCGATTTAAATGCCAGAAATGTCTTCAAATGTATGCAGGAAAGCATTTAAATTTGCGTCAGGGCCAAAATCCCAAACGCCCTGAAGGTGAATTTTTTCAGCCCAATCCGGAAATGACAGATTCCCCCCCAAAACAAAAAGAGCGACACGTGTGAGAATAGCACATCGGTTTGTGCATGTATGAGTGGGAGAGAGAGAGAGAGAGAGAGTGCGTTTGTTTGGGTGGGCGCTTCTTTGGCAACCCGAGACCCGGCAGCGCCGTCTGCATCGCGGTCACGTAGTCCGAAAATTGCAAGTTCCATATTTTGATAAGCCTTTTTGTGATATTTACCTGGTAAACTGGGTCGGCTAGTCGTGCTTTAACAGTTATTTTCCGAATTCACAAGATGCTGAACGCGATTCAATGTCTTTGGTATTCGCTATTTGCTTTGAACTTGCTTTCTTCGAAACACGTAGACGGCAGCGACGGTGCGAGCGAGAGAGGGCACTTGCGCCACGGCCACAACAAGGACGAGGAGAGCCGAAATTACGCGCTGTTATAATCGGACGCCAGATGGCGCTAGCAAAAGTACGTAACGATCTGAACGCTTCTTCTTCTGCTTCTTGTAAATACGTGCGAGAGCAGGCTGGGCGCGTAAGAGAGAGAAGATTCGCGAAACGCTTTAGCGGCGTTATTGACCGTTACAGTTACTCTGACGTTATTGGTTACGGTTACACGATTACAAAGTCTCTGTTCGATTGGCTCACGTGTATATGTAACACTAATGTGAATAGTTGTATGTTTGAATGTACATATGTGGGTATATAGAGCACACACATACGCACGCTCACACACAAACAATCTATTTGTTGAATTCGAATAGAGCACAGCCACTGTATTAAAATAAATCAGCAGCAAGCAAGAAGAATCAACGTATCGACGGCGGCAGGAGAGGCAGAGACGGAGAGAGGCGCACAGTGAGAGAGTGGAAGCGAGAGCGGAAGTCAAAAATGCAATTCATAGAGTGCAATTAACGTTTGACGATGGACGAAACGATGGAGCGGTGCGGTGCGGGGGTTGGCGTTCGATAGATCTTGTGGCACCGCAACAAAGCCCAAAAGATGTTTGATAGTTAAATTTGTATTGTTTGAATATGACGTTAACGTGCAAACAACCGACGAGCCGACTGCATTTGCTTTTTACAACACACAACACCACAGACTGACAAATAAAACCCTTATTGCTTGTATTCTTTTCGATATTCGCTTTTGCTTTTTCGGCTTTTTCTTTTTAACACGCTCAACACACACACATAAACACACACGCACGCACACACACACACGCACGCACACAGGCAGAAGAAACACAACACAGAACCAACCGCGTGTGGTCAAAGCACGTTGCTCGGAAAGCTTCGAGAATGTTGTAGGCGGCAATGGCGCGTTGGCAACTAAGTGGGTTTGAAATGTTAACAACTCGATTAAATTATATTCGGACACTCACACAAGTTGCGGCTGGCTTTCGATTCGGTTCTGTTCGGTTTTCGACTTTCAATAAATCTCAGTCTCCACTTTCAATTGCACAACTATTGTTGTTGTTGTTGTTGTCGGTTGGTCACAGAACTGATCGTTGATCCAATTTTCTGCACAATTCCCGTTACTTGAGGTGGTCTCTACTTGAGTGTCGAACATGTGACGAGCAACTGATGGCCGCTGCTTAAGCAAAACCGTATGTTTGTATAAATCGCGGCAGTTACGCGTCGTGGACTGCGACAACGCACAGTGGTCCAAATGCAAATGCCATTGGTCAGAAAAGTGAATTTCTTGCGAGCCGCGGCTAAACTCTTAGTCTTTTGTCATTTATATATTTATACACTATTATTGAAATGTTGTAAATTTACAAATATATGAAAACATAAGAAAAATATTACATGTACTAGCTCGAATGCCAGTTTGATTCCAATTCGATTTATCGTTTAGATTGTTGATGACGATACATTGCACCACTGTGCCAACAGCGACAGCAGTTCTAGAGAGCAAGAATTCAAACAAAAGCAACAACGAAAAATAAAAAGTGAGCAGCGAAAAGTTCACAAATAACTAAGTCGCCGCCGGCAAACAGCAACAATAACCAAATGTGTATGTATGTATGTATGTATGTTTGTGAGTTGCACACATTTACATAAGCTCACCATGTATTCGTGTACGTATGTGTGTATGTATGTGTATACATTTAAACATTCACAATTAATCGCTGCAAAACAACAACAATTAGTTGATATTTTTTTTGTGCTTGGCTCTCTTGCTCTCACTCTCCCTCACGGCGCTGCCTCATTTAACAGCACTGGGTCAGACGTTAGCTGCTAGTCATTGTTTTGGCCGAGTTTTCACTTTTAAGCCTAGTTTTTCGCTCAAGCAACATGTGGCTGCTGCTGGCAACGCCATGCGAATGTTCCAGCAAAATCAAAAGAGAGCGCGCGGGAGAGCAGAGAGAGAGAGCTTTTGTCAGATTCCAATTTAAAGATCTGTCGACGCATTTCGTATAATGTAAAATGTTGTTGTTTTCGTTATTGCTTGCAAGTCATAACGGAATACCGGCCGGCGTCGACATTGAATTGACTGAGAGAGCGGAAGAGAGAGAGAGAGAGCGCGCGCGTGAAACGAGAGAAAGCGCTGGCCTTGCGTGTCAGTGCTGCCATTTATAATTACAGTGCTGCCAGTCACATCTATTTGGTTTTATCTTGTCAATTAGCAAATAAGTGAGGTTAGTCATAACATGCGTTCTTCCGTTTCATTTTCCGCCATAAACATTCGATGGTACACGTGATATGCAAGCAGTGTATAGAGTATTCACGTATGTATGTATGTGTATTTATTTATGGGCATGTATGTGTGTCTTCTGTAAATGCAACTGTACACTAGGGTGGCATATTTTTGGCTTTGCACAATGCCATCGACTTTTCAAACGCAGCAAATAAACAGAAATAAATCAAAACAAATACATGTTTAGGGTGCCAAAATGCGATGCGTAGTATTTAAACACGCGCTAAATACAAATACATATACACACATATAAATACATACATATGTATGTATGTGTATATTTTTATGTTTTATGTTCGGTTTAAACCATTTGGGAATTACAAGGAAATTAGAAAAGATATATATAAAAACAGAGTTAACAGTAAGTTTGTACAAAAGAGTTAAGGATCCATAGCATTTCACAATATATCAAAATTCTGTGCTGCGCTCAGCGCAAACGCCGCACACAGATGGCGCCACCTGCGAGCAAGCTCATCAGAAGCGTAGCGCCCAGGACCCTGCCCAGCAGCTTGTCCTGCCACTGGCGATTGGCTATGCACTGGCTATAGGGCATGCTGGTAAAGGAGACGCTATTATAGAGCGGCACCCAGCGCCTGGGGAACAGCCGGAACAGCATCGTGTCCAGCCACTTGCGACAGCGGAAGGACCAGCGCTTGGTCAGATCGCGCATCTGCAAGGGATTAAGGGTATAACAAGGGAATGAACAGCTGCTGCTAGAGGCATACGCACCTCCACATAGTTGTACATGGCCAGGTCGCAGATGGCGTAGGCGTCGCGCCAGCGCGACTCCGTGAACTGGGCGAGCGCCGCGTCCAGCGGCAGCTGCTGATTCAGTATGGAGCTGAGCAGCGTCAGATCCTCCATGCCGGCATTCATGCCCTGGCCATAGTAGGGCACCATGGCATGCGCGGCATCGCCCAGTATCAAAGCCTTGTCGGCGAAATGATACGGCTTGCACTTGACGGACATCAGGTGCTGCGGGCGCGTCTTGAAGTAGTCCTTGATCAGCTGCTGCTCCCCAATTAGAGGCAGTGCGTCCACAAAGTGCGTGCCAAAGAAATCGAGCAGCTGCTGCTGCGTTTGCAGCTGGGCAAACAGCTCGAACGGCATGGACAGCGTGACCGTAAAGGATTTGTCCTGATTGGGCAGGGCGATCATCATGAAGGAGTCGCGCGGCCAAATGTGCAGATAATTGGATGGCATCTGGAACTGGCCATCCTTTGCGGGTATGCACAGCTCCAGGTAGCCGGTGTTGATGTACTCCTGCGAATAGTTGAAGCCGGGCGTGCGCACCAGCTGCTGTCGCAGCGTGCTAAACGCACCATCGCAGCCCACAATCAGATCCGCGCTGGCCGAGATTAGCTGCTGCTCCGCGGGTCGCTTGAACTGCATGCGGCCGTCGGCAATGCTGGCCGTGGCCAGCTTGTGCTCGAAATGGCAGCTGATGTTCGGAAAGGCATCGCAGGCATTCAGCAGCAGCTCGTTGAGCTGCTTGCGGCCCACGGAGTAGAGACACTGGCCGGTGCAAGGATCATACAGGACAATGCTGGTGCGGCCGCGCACATTGTGCAGCATGCGTCCGCGCATGGGTATCGCTGTGGCCAGCACCTGCTCCTCCAGCCCGACAGCGGCCAGCGCCTTGCGTCCGCGCTGCGACAGCGCCAAATTGATGCTGCGTCCCTGGACGAGCTGTGCCTTGCGTATGTCCTCGCGGTACTCGTACAGCTGCACCTGGTGGCCCATGCGAGCGAAGTTCAGGGCGGCCAAGGAGCCAACCTGCAGGCATTAACGATTAATTGTCCGACTAATTAAATATAATACATCTAAAAGACAATGCCCTTCTTTGAGGCCAATCTTCTGTATCTTCTCTTTATGACTTGATACCAAATATGTTTTTTTGGTCAACTAATCCCTCGCTGATAAGATATATTGTGAGATTAAGGTAAGACATACCAGACCCGCGCCCACAATGGCCACCTTGCGTCGCACGGCGGCGGCTCCATTGCCATCGGCATAGGCATAGCTGTTGATGCTCTGCGACATGGCTTCTGCCCGTATCTGGAACTGGGTATACGGAATGGGAGTTGTTGACGTCCGTTCGCTAGGCGTGTCGCACGCGTAATGAGATACGGTGCCGAGTCGTTGTCATTATGATAATACGGCAGGGCAGTAAATGCTGTCGCGGGAAGCTCTACAAATGTCTAGCCGCAATTCCCTACAGTGGGCCAACCGCCAGCTGAGTTTTCACTTTCAATTCTGAGATGGCAGTTGCCAGAGGGCAATCCAATTTACCCAAACTAAGTTGACATTAACTTATGAAATATGGCTGCCAACTGTCAATAATGCAATTGAAAAACAATTCAGCATGAAAACTGTATCTGAAATTGGAATTCTCTTAAAATGTTATTGGGTCATGCATTAACGAGATTCATCAATATACATATTGTCTCGCAAATGTTGTTATATGAATAGAGTTACAACGAATGCTGAGCGTATTCAGCATTCAGGTATGTATTTGTGTCAACCGCAAAGGAAAACTCAAAAACAAAGAAAGTCTGCTTAAATTTGAAAATCCGTTTCAAAAGCGCAACAGCCGATAAATCGATAAGACAGACTGCGCTTGCGCCACTGTTAGCTCATATTTGCGTTAACGCTGCTCATTTGGCGTTGGCCGGCTAACAGAGTGCTACTTAACATAGCTGCTGCTGGATGCATGCCAATGAGAGAAGCATGCTAGCTGGCGGGCATGGTCACTCTGATTGGAGAACAGCTGATCTGTTGTGCGCGTTAACAGCGAATGGTCAGACGCCATTGTGTACAAAAAAGTGTGTCGCAGTCGCCAAATAAAAGATAAAAAGTCCAAATCTTTTATAAATTGCCAAAGAGAGAGAAAAGGTCGCGTCGTTGTTGGTGTTTATACATTTATAGCTTGCAAGGAAATCGAACACAAGGCACAGACAAAATGGTAATAAACTTTGCGTGCGCGCAACAAATTAACCAAAACCTAGAAAAAAATGCTGCGCGAAAAATACGCACATTTTTGTTGGGTTTTCGTTTTTCCCATTGCGTGCAGATGAAAATTGAAGTGCTTTTTGACGATATTCTTGGCACATTTTAAACAACTTTATTTGTGCATTGCAGGGAAATGAATCGTCGCTGCCGATGGAAATGTGCTCGAATTGTAAGTAAAATTCGCAGTCAATGTCATTTGTATGGAATTTGGCCAGATGCCTATGCATATTTGCATTTTCACATTTGTTCACATTCGAAATGTGACCATTATTTGACGCTTGCATGTGCATACCGTTATTTGCCTATCTTTGCGCTTGTTTGTCCAGCGGGTGCAGCGGGAAGCGGGAAGCGGAAGCGGGAACAGCAGTTTTATGGGCCACACACACACATTTGCTAATTGGAATATGAATTGTGCTAGAGTGACACTGGCTAGTGTTTGCATTGCGTGCTCTAATTGGAATATGAATTGTGCTAAAGTGACAATTGTTGTGTTGCGTGTTCTAGTTGGAAAGTGAATTGTGCTGCAGTGACACGGGTTAGTTAAGTGTTGCGTGCTCCAATTGGAATATTAACTCTGCGGACTGACACTTGTTAGGTTTTTGCATTGCGTGTTCCAATTGGAATGCGTGTTGTGCTATAGTGACACTGGCTAGTTTTTGTGTTGCGTGCTCGAATTGGAATATGTATACTGATAGAATGCGTCTGGTTGGAAAAGTGTTGCTATTAGTTTTTGTGTTGCGTGCTCCAATTGGAATATGAATTATAATGGAGTGACAAGTTAGTTATGTGTTGCACACTCGAATTGGAATATGAGCTGTACGCAGTGGAACTCGCTAATTGGAATTGCATGTTCTAATTGGAATTTGTAATTTGATATGTTTGCCATTTAATCTGAATGCAATAAACAAACCAGTGTCATTCGCGCATAGCTTGCATTCATTTGGCTGACAACCTCTCGCTCTGATCGGCCCATGCACTGTGTGGACGGACATCAATATCGTTTTCATTGTCATCAGCTTGTTCGGGGGGTGATCTATAAATAAAACGGTCACATTTTTGTACAGCATAAGCAGCAGTACAGGGCGCACAGGGTGCACACGAGCTGTAATCGCCCTGTGGCCAAAATCTAAACAAACTTCCATTTACATGTACATCTATGCGTTCGTCTTGCGACTGGGAACAGTTGACGCGGATGAGATACGTCGTCTGGGCAAACGTTTCCGCAAACTGGATCTGGACAATTCGGGTGCATTGAGCGTGGATGAGTTTATGTCGCTGCCGGAACTGCAACAGAATCCGCTCGTGCAGCGCGTCATCGATATATTCGATGCGGACGGCAACGGCGAGGTGGACTTCAAGGAGTTCATCCAGGGCGTCTCACAGTTCAGCGTCAAGGGCGACAAGCTGTCCAAGCTGCGCTTCGCATTTCGCATCTACGACATGGACAACGATGGCTACATCTCAAATGGCGAACTGTTCCAGGTGCGTATCCTAGTTTGGGTACATCTATATGCCTAGCTAATACCTAATTCGGTTCGTGCAGGTTCTCAAAATGATGGTGGGCAACAATCTGAAGGATACGCAGCTGCAGCAAATTGTGGACAAGACAATCGGTTTTGCGGACAAGGACGAGGACGGCAAAATCTCCTTCGACGAGTTCTGTTCGGTTGTCGGCAACACGGATATACACAAGAAGATGGTTGTCGATGTCTAAAAACAAATATATAATAACAAATTGAAATTGAAATTGAAATGAAAGTTTAGCTAAAGTTACAGCTGCATAGATTTACCTTTTTTATATATATATATATATATTGTATATGCATAATGCAAATCATTTTTCACTAGTTACTATTTATTATTATTATTACTATTATTATTATTAATTTTTTGTAATGAATATTGTTTGTTTTTCAAATTTTTCTCGCCCAACTTAATTGTTTTTTTTTTTTTTTTGTATTGTTATTAAGTTCGGAAAGTAAAACAAATATTGAGCAAATTTTTGAAAATCAAGCGCTTTAACGAATAAATATCACAATTTCTCAAAGAAAAAAACACACAAAAACAACAACAACAAAAGCATAAACAATTTTTTAAAAGTTGTATTTCTAAGACGTAAAGCAAAAATTAAACAAAATAATAAAAACATATATATATATATATATAGACATAGAGCGAGGGAGAGAGAGAGAGAGCGAGAGAGAGAGAGAGCGAGAGAGAGGAAGAGAAATACTATATATATATATATATATCTATATAGTCATAATAAAATATGCTTTATAATTGCAAAAAGGCAAAAACAAAAAATTCAAAGTGAAAATTGAAAAATGAAAATTGCTAAAATAAAGCAAGAAAGTTAAGCGTTTTTTTTTTAAATTTTTAAATTAATAACAAATAAAAAAAAAATAATCTTATGTACAACAAATGAATTAATCAAATGCGAGGCCCAACATAAATATTGAAAAAATTGAAAAAGTTGTAAAAGTTGTGTTCAAAAGCTTTAAACTAATTTCTGATTAAAACTTTGTGCGTGTATGCGTGTGTGTGTGCGTGTGTGTGCGTGTGTGTGTGTGTGCTCTGATATATATATATAAAACTGTTTACACTCTTAAAACTTGACTTAAGCTTAGATTTTGTTAACAACTTCTAATTCTCCTGTGATTTGGCCAAAAAAAAAAGAAAAATTAAAAAAAAAATACGCTAGCCTCTATATTATATAAATATACTTTATTATATATATATATATATATATTCATAAACCTCAGTCCAGCTAAAAAGAGAAAATCAAAAGCAAATGCAACACATTTTTTCCCAATTATAATATATATATATATGTATATATTTAATATATGTATATGGCCATTGCAACTAATTCGAATCAAGTTAACTTAGTAATTAATTAAATCATACTTAAATGTGAGGCAAAACGAATAATTAACAAATTTTGTACTTAACTTATATTTATAATATACATAACGAAAAAATCAAATCTAGTTAAATTTATGAAATATTAACAAAATGCATGTTACAAATTTGTACAATTAGCAAACATTTTTTGCACAATCGCCATTCAATTTGTTAGCTAATACTAATCAAATTTTTTTTCATAACAACGTTTATATATATAACATATATCTATATATATATGTATATGTGTATGTCGAAGGCAATTTATATAAAATGTCAGGCAAAGCTACGAAATGCTTCTTTTGTTTGTCGAGCCATAAATAAATATATATATATATATATATATATATATATATATATATATATATATATACTAACTAACAGATGTTTATATTTGTGCATATTTGATTTAATTATAAATGAATCCATTTAGCGTCGACAAACACAAACGGCCTTGTTATTGCAATAGCCGCCCTTGTAGCGCCTGGCCAGGCAGTGGGCCGCACAGGCTGTGCTCTTCACATTCCAGAAGCTCAGCAGATCGCAGGTGGCGCGCTTCTGGCGTGGATGCAGCATACCCACGGGAGCTGTCGCCGTCTCCTGCGGAGAAGTCAACGCGTCGGTCACAGCCAGGATTAGTAGCAGGCCCAGGCACACGATCAACTTCATTGTAGGGCAGTTTGTCTGATGATGATGCCATGCGGCATTGCAGCACGTATTTATACAGCCAAAGCGTGGCTTTTGTCAGGCTGAGGGATTCCCAGTGGGCACATTTTGTATGGTCTTCTTGATAGTCGCGTTCACAGGCTGGGCACGTACAAGGGGGTCTTTTAATCATCTCGATTGATGAGCAGTTGTTCAAAGAAGTTAACAATGAAAAGTCAATAACTGAGTCTAGAGCCTAAGTTTAAGCCGTCAATATTGGATATCATAAAATGCAGTCAAGAATCAATTACAACGAACTGCTTTTAGTGAAGTTTCTTATGTAAATATAATGCAAAGAGCATGTAAATATAATATATCTAAGTAAAATGTACTTAAATGACATATACAGAATTTTCAATAGAAAAGTTTAATTGGCGCCACAAGTTTGAATTTGAACGAGTAGTCGTACTTGTCACGAGTCAGCGTTGTATTTGTGCAGCCCTAGTTCCTAGCACTACATGGCGGCAATTATTTGAATTTGAATGTGCAAGTACCAAGTACCAAGTACTCGTAACGAGTCGCAAGTTGAATTTCACAATGTTGCCGCACCGAATTTCGCCAGCCCTGGCAGTTATCCGCATAAAAGTAAACAAGTTGCATTAAATCAAGTTGCTGCTGGTTTTTAATGAATACTACGTTTATATTTGCACACAAAACAACAGAAAATGTCCGATATAGAGGGTATTTACTCCTTGCGGCTTGTAATTGCCGATTTTTACATGGAAAAACCCGTCTTTGGCCTGGATCCCTGCTACTCGGAGTTGCGCGGCAAGGAAATCAAGCGCGTGAATATAAGAACTAATTTGAAATTGTTAATTGTATACTTAAGCTTAGATTTGGTGAACAGGTGCCGATTGTGCGCATATTTGGCGCCAATGCCAATGGCCAAAAGTGTTGCATGCATGTGCACGGCGTCTTCCCCTACTTTTATATACCCTACGATAGGCGGGACTTTGAATCTGTGGAACGGGGCATACTGCAAATAGCCATGCACTTGGATAAGGCCATCAATATATCCTTGGGCCAGGGCAGCTCCAATGCGCAGCATGTCTTCAAAATACAATTGGTCAAGGGCATGTGAGTATATATATCTTTTGATATGCCATATAAATAGTTGACTTAGTGCCAACTCCTTTTCCAGTCCTTTCTATGGCTATCATCGTGCCGAGCATCAGTTTTTTAAGATTTTCATGTTCAATCCACGGTTCGTGCGACGCGCTGCCAATTTACTGCAAAGCGGCGCCATATTGAGCAGAAACTTCAATCCCCATGAATCGCATGTACCCTACATTCTGCAATTTATGATTGATTACAATTTGTATGGCATGAGCTATCTGCATGTGCCGCTCGAGGTGGTCAAGTTTCGCAGGCATACGGATGAAGACGGTAAACGCAGACACACATACTCTCCCTAGACTTAGGCACTTACACTCCATCCTGTTCTCATTCCAGTTGTGCCCTATGCGAATGTAAAGCCGGAGCAGCTGCTGGACACCAGTTGCGTTAAGAAGATCGCCTGCAGCGCCTTGGAGGTGGATATTAGTTCGAATTTCATACTGAATCGCTTTCAACTGGTCACCAAAAGCAACACGACGCACACGAATCCCGGCATCGAGGCCATTTGGCATGATGAGCACGTGCGGCGCCAGAAGCTGGCCCAAAGCTATGGCGCCGATAGCCAGAAACTAAATGCGGTAAGGATTCACCAGCAAATCCCGTCATCCAGCCAATAAATTTGCCTCAATTACAGCTGCCGGCGCTGCAAGTGCCGCCCACACAGGAGCGTCCGAACGTGGAAATAGCCGAAAGCGATAGCTTCTATCGCGCTGCGCTGGAGAGCAAGCTGTTATCCCTGGAGCAGACATTGAGCTCGGATCAAACTCTGTCCGATCAGACGCAGATCAGCCATGCGAATGTGACGCTCCAGACAAGCGCCAAGGAGCAGCGCCGGCAATTCAATCTGCAAAAGCTGTTGGTGAATGCCGTTTATCCCGATGAATGCACCCAGGATGCACAGCAGCAGCTGATGAATGCATCTGTCATACAAAATCATTTATCAGGCAGCGGCAGTCTGCAGAGCCTGCTGCCGGATGTGGGCAATGGCGAGGCTGCCTTTCTGGACAACACGCTCGTGGACGAGCAGCTCTTGGAGACACAGGGTCCAGTGCCACATGACGCTACCTGTGAGCTAATAATTTTAATTGCATTTAGTATGTCATCTAAACCATGTCAATTTAGTGCGCGAGGAGGATTTGGAGCTGCTTGAGGTGCTGCAACAGCTGGAGGAGCAGAACGCAAATGAATCCCACATCGATTTGGACAGCTCGCTGGCGCCGCTCTCGCAGCAGCACAAACAATGTAAGCCCCTTCTAAATATAAGCTTAATTAGTATTTAAATTAATTGCTGGCTATGCTTTTAGTTGAGCTAACACCTGAGCTGCTGGACAAACAGACGGCAGCTGCAGCCGCGCAGCAGCCGCTGTCCGAGGACGAAAGCGACAACTCGGATGAGGACAACACCGCGGGCAACATGCACGACTTTTCCGTTGCACTGGATGACATTGACGAGCTGCTACTTAAGCTAACCCAGAGTCAGCCCAAGGATCAGACCAAGACCAGTCAGAACCCGAAATTGCCGCAAATCGATGGCGCCGATGATCAGCTGCCGCGCACGCCCACCAAAGCCAAGTCCAAGGCGCAACAACGGAGTCCACCGCGCACGCCCACAACGCCCAAGAGTCGCATCAGCATGCAGCAGCCGCGCACGCCCAAGTCCAGTGCGGCCAAAAAATATGCGCCTCTGCCACTGACCATAACCAGTCGATCTGCACAGAGTGAGTGTGGCGCCCTTAACTATTAAATCTCCTAATGCTAAAGCTTCGATCCCATTGTAGAGCAGGCGGAGGCAGCAGCTGCAGTGCACCCAGCGAGTAGCGCCGTCAAGACGCGCCTTAGCCAACAGCTAGAGACGGTCGTTAGAAGGTGTGCACATAGATTAATATCCATAATCTCTTACTAATCCGTTGCCCATTCACCTTTTGCAGCCCAGCTGTAACGCTGCGCAAGAAACTGGCCATGACTGAGTTGCGCCGCAAGACAATCTCCGCAGCGTCTTTTACGGAGATGTGCAACAAAGCAGCACAACCGGATGAGCCGTAGGTTGATTTCTTTATGCAACTGGCAACCTTTTAAATAGCTTGCTTCCATTTAGTACTCCCCTGCGTCGTAGCACGCGCAGTCGCACGCGTGATTTGGACAAAACGCACATCATCTGCTCCCTGACGCCGCGTCGGAGAAATTCTCGCATTTCGCAAGTCTTTGAGACCGCGAACAATTCAACAACCACAGCTGAGACTTCAGTGGAGCTGAAGAAACCACGTCGCAGCGCACGCCACAGCGCCAAGCAGAATGTTGAGGAGCGACCTATCGCTAAGGCAGCGCCTAGTTTGGAAATAGTTCATAAGACAACGGACTCGCCCGCAGTAACTAGCGACGATGAGGCAATTGTATCTGACACAGAGAGCGATAGGTCTGTGGCTCAGCTGCGCAAGACGCCAAATCTGAGACGTTTGCGAAGCAGCTTTCGCGAGTCGGTGCTGGCCAAGAGAGCGACGCCAGCGAGTAATGGAAGTATAACGCCAGCGAGTGCAATAATTGCAGATGTATCCCGAACAATGCCAGTCACTAAAACAACAGCGAGTGCTATAAGACAAATTCCAGCGAGTACAGCAAGTCCAATGCCAGAACGTGAAGTGGCAGCTAATGCTACGAGTCTAATTTCAGCGAGTGAAACGCCAACGAGTACAAAAACTGATATAAGTCAGACTTCAGGGAATGCAGCGCCCACAAGTAACAAAATTCAAGCTTTAGCGAGATCAGTAGAGAGCACTCCAGCGAGTAAGACACCAACGAGTAAAACGAGAGCGAGTAAAACGACAGCGAATACTACAACTGATATAAGTCAAATTTTAGCTAGTGAAACGCCAACGAGTACAAAAAGTCAAGGGAGAGCAATGTATTGCACTCCAGCTAATAAGATACAAGAGAGTATAACGACAGCGAGTGCGACGCCAACGAGTTGCAAAAGCCAAGCCCTAGAGAGTTCTGTGCTAGCAATAAATTGCACTCCAACGAGTAAACTTTCAGCGAAATCAATTCGCACTCCAGCGAGTAAGATACGAGCGAGTAGGACACCAGTGAGTCAAACTCGGCTACTCAAGAATGCACATGGAGAAGAAATGAGTGAAGCAATTGACACACCACAATGTAGTCCACAGAGCATAGCCAGTAATACTCCGGAGCTGATGAAGAGCTTCTATGAGCACTCGTTGATTGTCAACAGTCCGTCCGTATTCAGCGATGATCTGGGCAGTCCGCAGCTGCCCGCACAATCTAAATTTCTGGCCAGGCCCAGCGGCAGTTCAAGCAACTCCGTAGATCCCAACACGCTTGTAATTGCGCCGCTAGAGCTGCCGCCCAGCTATGAGGAAGTGCTGCAGAGCTGCCGCAAACTGGACATACCCGAGTACGTGTTCCAGCAGCCCTTCTATAGCAATCCCGCCGATGTTAGCAAAATGACCGAGGTGGGATTTTTGGTGCTGCGTATACCGGGCAACAAGCTCAACGATTTGGAGCCCTTTCAAAGCAGCGTTTTGGCCAGCCATCAAGGTCTGGCGGCCTGGCGCCGCAAGCAATTGGTGGGCATTGCCGGACCAGCCATATTGCAGCGCTATCGCAGCGAGCAGCAGGTACGGGAGTACTTCAGCAGCGAGCAGCGGCTGGTCATGGAACCGGCAATGAGTCCGCCTAGCAGGCAGGACGCCAAGTTGTGGCTCAAAGCGCGAGAGCTGCACAAGCAGCGCCAAGGCGAGCAGGAGGAGGAGCAGCTGCGACCGCTGGCCAACGATGTGGATAGCCCCATTAAAATCAAGCGCCAGAAAATAACCATGATGCTCAACGAAGGCGATGGCGAGAGCGGAGCTAGTGGCGATGAGGACGGGGAGCCGAATTGCAGTCGCCTAACACTGACGCCTATGTCACAGACGCCAGCAACGCCTCAGCCCACGGGCAGAGGTAAGCAGCAGCCGAAGGACACGCCGCTTAGCTGCAAGATGCGCGCCAGGCGCGGCACGAAACTTACATTTCCGGCAGAACAGAATGAACCGCCAGGCAGCAGTCAGTCGAGTGAGCAGAGCGTCGCCAGCAGCGATGCCTTGGATGCATTGGAGCGCAGCTCGTTTGTGCGACAGCTGGACAGCCTGAGTAGCGGACGGAACAGTCATGAGCTCAGCTTTGGGCTGACCAATGCGACGCTGGACAATACCTTTGGCTTCAAGGTTAATCTGGAGAATCTGCAGCAGGCCAAGGCGGACATTGAGGTGGGCAACAGCTCAAACCAAGATGTATTTCATGTCTCAAATCTTAATTTTCGCAGTGCAACTATTTGACCACCATGATGCTGGAGCTGTTTGTGCCCACCCGAGACGATCTGCAGCCGGATCCGCTGTACGACGAGATACGCTGCATATTCTATGCCATTGAGCACAGCCTGCCGGCCGCAGCTGGAGCGGAGCAGCAGGCGCTGCCGAACAAGGCCTGCGGCTATGTTATAGTCAGCGATGCCCAGGATTTGGTCAGCGAGGGACGACATCACGGCCTGGACGCAGACATTGAGCTGCAGGTGGTGCAGAGCGAGGCGCAGGCTTTTGAGGCGCTGCTGGCGCTCTGCACACGCTGGGATGCGGACATCTATGCGGGCTACGAGATCGAGATGAGCTCCTGGGGCTACATCATTGAGCGTGCCAAGCACTTGTGCTTCAACATTGCGCCCCTGCTGTCGCGTGTGCCCACGCAAAAGGCGCGCGACTTTGTGGACGAGGACCGCGAATCGTTTACGGATCTCGATGTGGAGATGAAGCTCTGTGGCCGCATATTGCTGGACGTGTGGCGTCTGATGCGCTCCGAGATCGCGCTCACCTCGTATACCTTTGAGAATGTCATGTATCATATTCTGCACAAGCGTTGTCCCTGGCACAGTCCGCGCGCCCTGACCGATTGGTTTGCCTCGCCCTGCACGCGCTGGATTGTGCTGGAGTATTACTTGGAGCGTGTGCGCGGCACCTTGGCGCTGCTCGATCAGCTGGATCTGCTGGGACGCACCAGCGAGATGGCCAAACTGATTGGCATACAGTTCTATGAGGTGCTCTCCCGCGGCTCACAGTTCCGCGTGGAGAGCATGATGCTGCGGTGAGTATTGCCCCCTCTACAAATGGATGACTATATTAAAAATATCTATTCTCTCGCCCAACCACAGCATAGCGAAGCCCAAGAATCTGGTGCCGCTCTCGCCGAGCGTGCAGCAGCGCGCACACATGCGTGCACCGGAGTATCTGGCGCTCATCATGGAGCCCGAGTCACGTTTCTATGCCGATCCCCTCATCGTGCTGGACTTTCAGAGCCTGTATCCGAGCATGATCATTGCCTACAACTATTGTTTCTCCACCTGCTTGGGCCGTGTCGAGCATCTGGGCAGCAGCAGCCCGTTCGAGTTTGGCGCCTCGCAGTTGCGTGTCTCGCGTCCGTTGCTGCAGCAGCTGCTGGAGCGCGATCTGGTCACAATCTCACCCTGCGGCGTGGTCTTTGTGAAGCGGCAGGTGCGCGAGGGCATCTTGCCGCGCATGCTCAGCGAAATACTGGACACCCGGCTGATGGTGAAACAATCGATGAAGCTGCATCGCGACAGCTCCGCGCTGCAGCGTGTGCTGCACTCACGCCAACTGGGCCTAAAGCTGATGGCAAATGTTACCTACGGCTATACGGCGGCCAATTTCAGCGGACGCATGCCCGCCGTCGAGGTGGGCGACTCTGTGGTAGCCAAGGGCCGTGAGACGCTGGAGCGTGCCATCAAACTGGTAGAGACGCACGAGAAGTGGAACGTGCGCGTCGTCTACGGCGACACGGATTCCATGTTTGTTCTTGTGCCCGGACGCAATCGTGCCGAGGCCTTTCGCATTGGCGAGGAAATTGCACAGGCCGTGACCGAAATGAATCCGCATCCGGTCAAACTGAAGCTGGAGAAGGTCTATCAGCCGTGCGTGCTGCAGACCAAAAAACGCTATGTCGGCTACATGTACGAGACGCCCGAGCAACAGCAGCCGGTTTACGAGGCCAAGGGCATTGAGACGGTGCGACGTGATGGCTGTCCGGCGGTGGCCAAAATGCTGGAGAAGGTGCTGCGGCTGCTCTTCGAAACGGCGGACGTCAGTCTGATCAAGCAGTACGTGTGCCGGCAATTTACCAAGCTGCTCTCCGGACGCGCCAATCTGCAGGATCTCATCTTTGCCAAGGAGTTTCGCGGGCTAAACGGCTATAAGCCCACAGCCTGTGTGCCGGCGCTGGAGATGACGCGGTGTGTAAAGCATATAACGATTCCATAATGTATAGATTCGACTAATTTTCCATTCATTCACCCTTCACAGCAAATGGATGCAAAAGGATCCCAGACGCGTGCCGCGTCGCGGTGAGCGTGTGCCCTTTTGCATTATCAATGGACCGCCCGGCGTGCCGCTGATACGTCTGGTGCGCAGTCCACACGAGGTGCTGACCAACGAGGGCTACAAAATCAATGCCATTTACTACATTACCAAGGCCATAATACCGCCACTGAATCGCTGCCTTCTGCTCATCGGAGCCGATGTGAATGATTGGTAAGCAAGTGAATCAGCTGCACTGCCAAGATAAACCATCAACTATTTCCAGGTTCAGCAATTTGCCGCGCAGGCTGCTCATAACGCCAGCTCTATCCACCGCTGGTGAGCTGATGAATCGCGGCAGCGCCAAGTCCACCATATCGCAATATTTCTCAACGACCAACTGCATCATCGACTGCGGCCGCCAGACCAAGGCGGGCATCTGCACGGATTGTGCCCGCAATGCCAGCAAGTGCGTTGTCACGCTGCAGGCCAAGCTGGCGCAGCTGGAGCGCGGCTACAGACTAACCCAGCAGATATGCCAGGCCTGTTGCGGCCGGTTGGGTGAGCTGCAATGCGGCTCACTGGACTGCCCGGTGCTGTATGTGCTGGAGGTGAAGCGGCGGGAGCTGCAGCAGGCGCCGCACATACGCAAACAGCTGGAGGAGCGTTTCAATTAGTTCAATATCACTTGTATATATGTAAATATATATTGGATGCCTAGAAAACAATTCTAGACTAGATATGACTTCATTTAAGCGAGGTACCGACCGACCATCGATTGGCAATCAAGAGAATCCGCATTCCAAGATTGGCAAGGGGTAAGTAAGATCACAAATTTTGCCAAAACTGGCTTTGTTGAGATATCCAAAATTGTTGATGCCAATTTATTAAGTCGTGAAGTGCCCAAATTGTCCAAGATCAAGCTCCATTTAAACGAGATAATTTAGTTCTTAAAAACAAAATAATCCGGAGTAAATTGCAGTGTGACGACGGATTTTAGATGACCTAGATGACCCATATATATTTCCTTGGTTAGATATATGAAATTTCAAGTCAATCTATTGGACTAAACCCCAAGAGATTTCATAGGGGCCAAAAGGGCTTTTTGATCACAATTTATTTTAGACAACTGGCATGGAGCTCCATGAGTGCAATAGGAAATATCTTTCCAAGATCGCAGTGCATTTGACCGAGTTATATTATTGAAGGTATCATCCGGCTGTGCGACCCCCAATTCAGCTTCCTAGCTCTTCCGGTTTAAGCTGTATGCATAGACATATGTGTATTGTTTTTGTTGTATATTTAACTTGCGACTGTTTAAAAAAGTTAAAATACTACACGTACAACAATCAGTGTCGACACCCCGTATATATATGTAAATAGCTTAAACACTATGAATGCAGGTGTGTGTGTGTGGGTGTGTATGTGTGTGTAGCATATATGCATTGTTAACTATTGATATTGTTTAGTTGCCGTTTAGAATTTGCATTAGCATTTGTTCAAATGAATTTCTTAAGAGATTTCGTTTTGCTTTAATTAAATATTTATATATTTGTTTTGTATGCATGCGCGTGTATGTATAATCAGATGGTAATGCGTTTTGTACAATCTAAAATTAATTATTATGAGAACGTTTCAATTTAACAATTTTTCCAATTTATGTTTAACCAAATTAAATAACAATTATTTGTATGTATGTATATAACCATGTACATAAGTGCATTTTTGTGTTTATTTTGATTTTGTTGTTAGCCCTGATTTATCCTTATCCATATAGTATATGGGTGTGTACCTAAACAATTTGCAATTGTATATGGTTATTAAATTGAGCGCGTATTTGCTGATAAACAACGTTTACCATTTACAATTAAAAACTCTTGTTTCACAAAAAAAAAAAAATCAGTACAATAAAAGTAGCTTCAAAAATTCCTTTGAAAATTTGCCTCGAAAAATAACACACGCACAGTTGCTGTAACGAGCGCTCGAGGTGCTCTTACATATCCTCATCCTCATCCTCGTCATCGTCATCCATTTCAAACATCATGGCATTCTTGGCATCGGCCTCATTGCGTTTAGTTTCCTCTTCGTTGTTGTGATTGTTGTTGTTGTTGGTCAAATCCAGACCGCTATCGTGCATCGACAGCTTCTTGTTCTTGTCCTGGTTGTGACCATTATTATTGTTCGGCTGCTTGAAATACTGTGCATTGGCCGCGGTCTGAGGGCGAGAGTAGAATCGAGGATATTTAGTAGATGTAACGAATCAAAATTTAAATAGAAATTATCGCTTTCAAAGTCTGCAGCTTTAAATGGAAATGTTTTCCAAGTTGAACAATTATAATAAGACAAATTCTAAGGGATCTCAGGGAGTTCTGTCATTGCATTCTCTTTAACAGCTTTCACCTAACATTTTCATATTTAACATTTCCATGTTATATTAAACAGCTGTTAGCAGCTGCCACTTATCAAAGTTATATCAAGTGTTCATCATTAAATCAAATGTTTACTCAAATTACACACAAATTGCAAACACAAATACTATATCATATCATTATCATTATCGCTCGGCGTTTGACCTTCGTTCAGTGACTAGTTAGAGGCTGATTTAACTTAAATCGCAATAGCACTGTTAAGAACTGGAATGCTTTAGTTTCAATTATTGTGTTTGCTCGCGAACTAATTTGCAATTTGCGGCAAATATTTAACTAGCTTACACACGTTTAAGACTAGACCTAAGGCTCTCGATAGCCAAATGGGTCATACAATAGAAAATAACACTTGGATAGCGCGCATTCCAATACAATCAATATTCGCGTCTAGCACTAATTCAATTAGCTCCAATCGGCAAATTAACAAGCTGGCGAGAATCACAAGTTTACCTTGTGGGCGGGCGGCTGCTGGCCATTGCCATGCTCCACCTCCTCGTAGTCCGCCGAGTCGCCCTCGCTGAGGCGACGCTGTTGGGCGCGCAATTTGCAATCGCGTCGCTTTTGATTCTTCTTTCGCTGGCCCAGTATGCTCGAGTCGAGCCTAAAAATAGAGATGCGAAAATTAGATGGAATTGAATACAATTGGATCCGTTTTATATTTTTAGACGCACCTGAACACTTGCTTCATGATGTGATCATTAAATCTAACAGTCTTCTTGCAGCTCTCCGATAGACCTACATCTCCCTCTCCGCTACGCTCCTCGGGTATGCCACCAAATGATTGTGAGAAACCGATACCAGGTGCATCCATTGAGCATGAATATGTTGATGAGCAATCATCAATTGAGGAGCAGCTATCAGAAATGGAGGGGCGTGGTCCATAGCGACTAAATCGCTTCAATATGCCACGTTGCACGCAGCTGCTGCTGCTGCTCTCATTGCATTCCGAGTAGCTGCGCTGCTTGCGCTGCGGCAGCTTCAGCGTGTCCACCGGCTGAGACACGTTCTGCAAGCGCTCCGGCGAGGCATCTTTGGGTGTAGACGGTAGCTGCTGCTGCTGCTGTTGTTTCTCGTGCTGCAGCTGCAGCTCCTCTTGCGCCGCCTTGAGCTCCTCACAGGCGGATTCAGAGAGCGAGCGTTGCTTCTTGTTGCGCTTGCGCTGCTTCTTGTTTAGCTTCTTCTGCTGCTGCAGCTGTTGCAGTTGTTGTTGTTGCTGTTGCTGCAGCTCTATACTATCTAGAGGATCAGTGCTCTCTTGTGGCATAATGCTCACCTCCAACGCATGTTCCAGATCATTGTGATCCATGTTAATATACAGTGACTTCTCTGAAGACAAGCTGTAGCCTTCATACTCTTTCTCCTTATTATTGTTGTTGTTGTTGAAGTGGCCAAAAACTGGAAATTCCTTGAGATCAGTGCTATCGGGTCCAGCCAGATAGCTAGGCAGCAGCATGCAGTTCTCATTCATATACACCCTCAAGACAACATTCTCATCGGCGGCATCTACGTCGATATGATCGATCTGCAGCTGCGGCTCAAGCCCATCGGGCAGCTGCACTAGGAACGCATAGTGGGTGGGATAGTAGCCACTGCCCATGGAGGCGAATTGCAAATGCAGGCTGCGTGCCTGCTGCAATGTCTGTACAGAATCCGGTTGCACATTGGCCACGTGCAGCACAAAGGCAATCACATTGTCCAGTATGTTGCAGTCAAACGAGGCGGGCAGCTGGTAGTGCAGGTTGTCCTTCAGAAACGAGCGGGGCGAAACAACGGCAGTGGGCGGGACTGTTGGATGAGGCAACAAGTTAAATATGGACTTTATAAAAGTGAACTACTTACATGCATCGGAAACATCTGCTTGGTCGTGCGACTGCAGCTCAACAATGGCATCGGCTTCAACTTCCGCTTCAGCTTCAGCTTCATCTTCAACGGGCGACTCGCCATTGGAGTTGAGCTCCACGCCGCTGTCCTCGCGGGTGAGCGTGCGCACGGTGTCGTGCAAATTGCGCTGTTCACGTGCCGTGGAACGCACCACGGGCAGCGTTATGCACAGACGTCTGTGCTCGGTATCGAAGCGTGCATTGCCGGCTTTATCGTTCACCGTGTAGGGCAGGTCCAGCTTCAGTCGATATTTGGCTCCTTGACGCTCGCTGAGCAGATAAACGGACTTCTCCGTGACATCCAGCTGACAGTCAGCCGTAGAGCTGAGCAGCGGCAATTCGATTTCAACGACCAGAGCACGTGGCATAGTCACCTGTAGCTTGGCATCCAGTTCGTCTGTGTACTCGGCCAGGTCCACATCGTGGCTGTGCTTGATGCTGTACTTGGGCACGGCAAACGTTGGAGCCGGCGTCACTTTTGTCTTCATGGGCAGCACCTTGGGCTGGTCGGCGTTTGCAGCCGGCTTCTTTGGGTACATGTGCTCGAGGGGATGCGGTTCGAGTTCCTCGGCTGTGGCATCCTTGGATAATTTACGTAGCACGGTAGGACGCGCAAGACCCTTATAGTCGAGCTTGGGAAACTTGAGATTGGCCCGATCCAAATTGACCTTATACTCGCGCTCGACACCATCCAGTGCGGTATCTATAAGGCATTGACGGAACTGCGCATTGCGTTTGCCCAGATGCAGTGCATCCGGATGGAAGACGACATCAAAAACTTTGCATTGCTTGTTATTGGCATCGAGATCGTCGCGGGGCGGTGTCTGGGCCATCGGTATGGACCAGCTGAGACCCTTCTGCCCAGTTTGCGAATTGACAGAAACCTCATTATTGGGCCGCTCCACAACCGTGGAGCTGGCAATATTAATGAAACACTTTAGTTCACCATCAATGGACGTTTTAACCACAAAGCCCGGCTGCGGATGGATAAAGGTTACATCGACGCCGCGCTCCTTTTCCAGCTGCGTTATCTCCTTCTCGTAAAGCTTACGATTCTCCGGATCTTGAATTTCGTCAACGTAATCGAAAAACAATTTGCGAAACTCTTCGTTGCTTAAAGCCTGGCGTATGCGGTCAAACTCATCCGTGGTTATGTCCAACTTTTCATTGCCATGGATCTTTGAGTGTTTATTGCGTGTGGAAGCGGACATAGCTTCAAATGCTTTAACTTGCACTCACTATCACTATCACTATCTCACTCTTGCTCTTACCGACACGCGCAATTCGAACAAAAAAACCTTTAAACACTTGTTGCACTATTTTTAATAATTTTACAGTTAGCAAGAAACACGTAAGCCGTACGAAATGCTAGTTTATGTTATTATAGCGTTCTAGTTGTTTCTGCAAAGAGAAAAGAGATAGAGAGAAAAGGAGAGAGATGGTAAGTTAACATTTGACAGCTGATGCAATAACACTCAAAATTGATATTCGTTAGAAGCCGCATTCTGACGTATGCACACACACACACACACACACATACACACACATGCAAAATCGATGAGCGGCTTATCGCTCGATTGTCCTAGGTTTTTAATTCGCAGCATATGGGAAGGCAACCCCCTTCCATTATTTACCCTGCTTTATATACATACATAGATAATATAGAATAAAATATAGTTATCTACATACATACATATGTCTGTATGTAAATTGAAATCAGATTCAAAATGACGACAACCAACATGCCCCTACTCTCTTATTCGCATTCATTCTGTTCTGCTCTCTCAGCACAATTTGCCGGCTGCATTGTGCAGCCTTTTTTTTTTTGGCAACAGCGAAATGTATATTTACATTTGTATGTATGTTACAGTTATGTAATGCAGGCAAAGCGGACATGGGAAGCGAAGGCGGACAGAATGGAAGGCGTAGCGAGATCAAGCGTTTTATTATTGAGCAGAAACGAAAAGCAAACGTACTGCGTAGTTTGCCGTTTTGTTGTGGCCGTTCTTTCGTATCAGTGTTTGTGTGTCGATATTTGCGGCGCGAGCGAACTTTTACGAATGAGCATTAAACGCCGGCAAATACTTCGCACGCAGCGGAGGCCGCATGCTGAATGCGGCGGGAGAGACGTACGGCGGAGACGAGGGCAACGCTAGATAAGCACAGGCACAGCTAACCAACCACTTGCCCTCAATTGTTTGTGTCTGCTGCTGCTGTTGTTGTTGTTGTTGTTGTTTAGCGAGGTTCTGTATATAAATATATGTATGTAATGTGTGCCCAGCCCAGATGAGATGGGATGTCAAAACAAACTGTATATACAACACAGGAAAACAGGACGATAGCGCAATAGAAAAGTGGACAACAAGCAAACACATGTTCTGCCCCTTGGTTCAGCGTGTTTGTGCGTACACGCGCAAAAGAAAATGTGGAAAAAATTATTAGTTACGTGACCAAGGAGAGCACATCCATCTATGTGTGTGTGCGTGAGCTAGTACATATGTAAATATGTATGTATATACACAATCGGTGTTTGATCAATATCGATACAAACTGTGGAAAATTGATTGATTTTCTGCATAAGGCATGGCCACAAGATGAAACCGGTCCGGAATGAGCTTAGCACACGCCCACTGGAACAGGATTTACGGAGAATTGCAGGGGAACCGTTGCAAAATTATGTTGACAATCTGCTTGAACTTGAGCACGATGAGGAAAGTCAATGACCACCAATCGGCTTCTACAGCAGGCACAATTAGAAAAACAGTAGAACTAGACTCGAGACTGCATTTTCATCTAACAGACACACACATGCACAGGTACACACACGGACAAGACTTACCTAAAAAATATATATGTATAAATACATACGTGTATGCACTGTAAATAATTAGGAACCGCACAGAACTCTTTTTTAATAATTTTTTATGTTAAATTGTCTTTGAAGTTTTTTTCAGAAATTCTAGAAACTTTTCAGCTGATCAATTTTTTCCAGGCGAAGCAAGCTGAGGACCGGCTCAGTGTGACCTAAACAACGTGACGACGTGTAGTTTAAATAGTTAGCTCTAACAGCGTTTGGTATTATCATAACACCGGCAAGTATGGGCACCCAAATCGCGTTGAGCAATGTTAACATTTTGGGGTGACCACAGCTGTAAATGTATACCTGTTAGTGCTGGCTAACACAGCACTGTTAGTGTTGGATAAAAAACAATGGCAATGGAGTCAAATTTATTTTTGGTTTTCCTGTTGTCATTTTTTTTATATAAAAATGCAAAAGGTGTGTTAAATTATGGTTCCAAGTGTAATACAGTGTGTGTGCATCAGAAGCGGCTTCATTTAAACAAAGTGTGCGACTTGGATAGCGGCATATTGGCCTGAAAAAATGATGCCTACGCTCTGCATATTTGTTTGTGTGTGTTTGGGTCACAATTTGTTTTCATATGCTACTGTTCTGAACAATTGCGCCGCGTACGAAGCCAAATGTGTGACAAAACTGCCGTTGAGTGCATAAAACAGCATGAAAATAATGCAAATACATAAAAATATGCGTTATATAAATGAATAAGAATGCTTGTGGGCGAGCGTAGCATAAAAGTTCATTTATAATCGACACACACATGCGTATTATTTGTGTATACACAAATGCCTATGTGTGTGTGTGTGCGTGTGTGTGTTGAGTATTTCTAGCATATTTGCATGTATGTGTGACTGTTATTTTCCGTGTTGTTGTTCTTACAGCGGAAATCAGTGGACTTTTGCTAGATGAGCAACAGGATATGGACATGGAACTACCGCCGAACATTAATGGAAAGGAATTTCCAGCAATACCGCAAAACTCCTTACTAACGCATCCCAGGTAATTAATAGAATAGTATGAACATCCATTTACGATCAATCGCGAATCAATCAAAATAATGTATTAAGCCAAATGAAATTTGTCTAATCGGAACTATTGCTATAACCTAACTTCATTTTAACACCAACTCTTTACTACTTCCCACCCATTTAACACGCTGCACTCCTTAATAGAAGACATGTTAAGAGTAAGCGACGCATGAAAAGAAGGTAAAGCTGAGTGCATTAGCCCGCCTGTTTTCATAAACCCCACACATACACACACACACACACACACACACAATACATACACGCTCGTGCTTATTATATGCTTGCATATTTTCTAATCTGATATTTTCGCATGCACAGATTAAAATGTTTTGCGTGTGAGCCACCCTGTCTCGATCCCAATGAGCATGCACATACGTGCCAGAACGCTATACAGGTGAGTTAATAAGAGTCTGATATCTGATTATCCAATAATTCAATTCTTGCTGCAGTGCTGGAAATCTCGCACACGCGATGCCGTTGGCCAGGAGCAAGTGTCGCGCGGCTGCACCACGTCGCAGGATCAATTGCCACTGATTTGCAATCCGATTGGTTTAAATAAGCTCAGCGGTCCCGCAAAACGCAACACAGCAAAATTCATAAATGTCGTCTGCTGTGCCAGCGATTTTTGCAATGACGGTGAATTTCCCGAGCTGCCACCGTTTGTCAGCGGCGATGTGGCAACGGTGATCACAGCCGATAGCAGCAACATAAGCAAAATGGCCGCCGCCATTTTGGGCCCATTTCTGGTCATCACGCTGATGGGCGCCGTGGCCGTCTGCTTTATGCGGCGCAGTCATCGTAAGCGTCTGGCGGCAACACGAGTTAAACAGGATCCCGAATCATATTTGGTTAATGATGAATTGCTGCGCGCCACCAGCGCTGGGGATAGTACTCTACGCGAATACCTGCAGCATTCGGTTACTTCCGGTTCGGGAAGCGGCTTGCCGCTGTTGGTACAACGGACGCTGGCCAAACAGGTGACGCTCATTGAATGTATTGGCCGCGGCAAGTACGGTGAGGTGTGGCGTGGGCATTGGCACGGCGAGAGCATTGCCGTCAAAATATTCTTCAGTCGTGACGAGGAGTCGTGGAAACGTGAAACTGAAATCTACAGGTTAGGGTTCGTTTGAATTTCTTGAAGCTTTCTATGCTAATCTCTTTCACACCTTCAGCACCGTGCTGCTGCGCCATGAGAACATACTTGGCTTTATTGGCTCCGACATGACCTCACGGAACTCGTGCACCCAGCTCTGGCTAATGACGCACTACTATCCACAGGGCTCGCTCTTTGATCATCTGAATCGGAATGCACTCAGCCATAATGATATGATTTGGATTTGTTTGTCGATTGCCAATGGACTGGTCCATCTACACACTGAAATCTTTGGCACTGAGGGCAAGCCCGCCATGGCGCATCGGGATTTGAAGTCGAAGAACATATTGGTCACCGCAAATGGTACCTGTGTCATAGCTGATTTTGGTTTGGCGGTTACACACTCGCATGTGACGGGACAACTGGATTTGGGCCACAATCCCAAAGTGGGCACCAAGCGTTATATGGCACCCGAGGTCTTGGATGAGAGGTAAGCGCGTCTAGCGCACTTTTATCAGCTGATGTAACTCTATTTCCCCGCGCAGCATTGACATGGAGTGCTTTGAGGCACTGCGACGCACTGATATCTACGCTTTTGGACTAGTGCTATGGGAGGTTTGCCGGCGCACCATTTCTTGCGGCATTGCCGAGGAATACAAGGTGCCCTTCTATGATGTAGTGCCCATGGATCCCAGCTTTGAGGATATGCGCAAAGTCGTCTGCATTGACAACTATCGACCATCCATACCCAATCGCTGGAGCTCAGATTCGGTGAGTATAAAACACCATATACCTTTAGCTATAATCTTTAATTATATACCTGTTTGCAGCTACTGGCCGGCATGTCCAAGCTAATGAAGGAGTGCTGGCATCAGAATCCGAATGTGCGTCTGCCGGCGTTGCGCATTAAAAAGACTATACATAAATTAGCTTCCGTTGACGAGAAGATACGTTTAGACTTTGATGAAGTTTGCGTTTAGTAGCTTTTTAAGTGTAGAGGTTAACTTAAGTTAATTATTAATTTGTGTAAGTGACATTAGTTAAGTTCATTTTGCTAGCAGCTAAGTTTTCATACATATTTTGAAGTTTTATTTTTTTTCCCTTTCATTAGTCTGTAGATGCATTAATCGAGATTTAGTTTTGTGCCTTTCAAATTGCCTTAAATGTAAAATTCCACTCGACTAGAGATATCATCTATTTTAGTTTTATGAATCGCCTACATCAAGCTGCCTCCATAGAGTAGGCAGTATTTTTATAATCTTTAATCATTTTCATTTCAAGTGCCATTACAATTAAGAATTGGTAAACAAAAAAAAAAAGAAAACCTTTTTATACATTACATTTAAGCTCACTTTTTACACCTACACCTTTTCACAAACACACATGAACAGCTATATAGTTTCTTTTCTTATCAAGCTATGATAGAGTTATTGAGAATGTAAACAATTGGCGCCACACACACTCACGAAACATATTGTGCACCTAGTTAAGAGCATATGCATGTACATGAAAAGTTCCCAACTACATATAGATGATATATACACATATATAAATATATATATATATTTACAAACAATACTTTGTATACTGTACAAATGCGCGCTAAATAAGTTGTATATGTAGTTTACAAATGACTTTAAGATACTATCAACAAATAAAATATACTCTAATTGTTAAGTAAGTCAAGTTTATCTAATCATTTTTAAAGATTGTTCAATGTTAAGAATTCATCTGAGAAGAATAAGTGAAAGGAAACTCAAAGGTACTGAAAATTAGAATTCATAACAGAAGCTTTATTTCCAAACAAAATATTTAACATTCATATGCTTCTAGCATAAGTTTATGAACTTTAGTAATTAGTTAAAAAGTATAATTAATATAAAAGATCGGGATCATTGTCCATTTGCCGTCAGCAGCCTGAACATCTCGTTGTTCTGCTCGTCGAGAAACAGCAGCTTGAAGATGTCATTAAAGAAGTCCGGATAGTAATCACAGGCGCGTTTGCAGTCGGGCGTCCAGTTAATCTCCAGCAGCTTTGGCTGCATGCCGTGCTGCTCCACACCGCTGCCCGTCCAGGCCAGCATAATATCCGCCGCGTAGAGGGCGCGGGACTGAGCGCAGGGCGCCAAGCCACAAGGCGGCGGCGCTTGGCTGGCGCACTGCAGCACCTCGTGCAGCATGCCGCAGATCTGTTGCTCCACAACGGCCCAGTCGTGTTTGGGATACTGCTGACGCCACATGTCCAAAAAATCATCGCATTGTATATGATGCAGCTGTGCCTGCTCCTGATAATTCATCACCGTATAATGCTTCTCGTAATCATCAAAGCTGTCCAACGAGAAGGGCCGATTGGCGAAGCGCAGAAAGAACTTGCGATGCACATAGGCCTCCAGCGGCTTCACGCGCTTCACCAGCATCACATAGCGCACATCGAATTTGACCTGAGCATTCAGTTCGTCGCGATGAAACAGCACGGGTCGCTCGATATATTTTTGGGCTATTTTTGGTCCGGTTGCGGGCAAACGTACAATCTGCTTAATGTTGTCCGTGATGTGGGTGTCGAGACCACGTGCCAGATTCCAGGGTTTGATAATCCAATGGTTATCCAAACGTTTCGCCGCCCGCTGCTGAAAGTAGGCGACAAATTCGCGCAGTTCCGTGGACAAATTATAGGTGGTGGGCAGCCACGTGGGATACGTGTCCAGCGTCTCGGAATTGTGATGCTCCTTTGCAGCACGACGACCGACAATACCCAGCAAATCCTTGATGGTGATGACATACTCGAAGGGAAACTGATTGATGAACTTGTGTGGCGTATCGCGTGCAAATTCCGCGAAATTCTTATAGTGGCAGGTCAGCCAGAGCACATCCGCATCCTGTTCGTTGTCGACCAGCACAAATTCGGGAGCTGTGAGATGCTCGCGCAGCACATCATACTGGGCGTATACCTTCAAGGGATCACAGCGAGCAGGCGGCGCTTCGACAACGGTGCTTTTCTCCTCCGGATATGTTTCTGGTATGTGGCCGCTGGAAAAGTAATCCGCACTCGGCTCCACCTGCAAAAAGCTCTCCCCACTCAAATCGGTCTCTTGCCAAGGCAGCAGCAGGGCCGAACGTTGCGGCGCATCCTTTGACACATACTCGGCAAAGTCGCGCGTTACCGGCGCACCTTGTTCACAATCCCGAATGGGAAACAGCAAGCTGTATGTTGTCTGCGTGTTCAGGTAGAGCAAGGGCACTACCCGAAAATTGGGCTCATCCGAATGATTGACTGCCGAACCAACTTCATCCATGACATACCAAATGGGCATGCGCTCCTCATCGGTTAAGCCTTCGCTGGCAATGGAATAGGCATGACAATACCTCCACAGGCGCCTCAATATTTTGTCAATGCGCTGCTCATGCTCCAGATCGACGCCGGTGATGGCGGACAAGCGATCCGCCAGCTGTGGATAGTGCTCCAGCTGCTGACGCGCGCTGTTCAGCCGAAACGTCCAGGCGTGATCTATTAAAAAAATGGCTTGCGGATCACTTGCCTTTATGCCCGCTTCGCGTGCTACTTCTAGGGCAAACGCTGGCTTGGCATTGTCATCATCAACACCCTCCTCCTGCTTCTCATCCTCGTCATCATCGTAGTCGATGAGCAATAATTGCAGAGCCTCACCAGCATCAAAGTTGTCCGTGGTCAGTTTACGGTAGAGCGCCGGCCAGAAATGCACTGGCACCGCCGAAGATTCCAGCTGCGGCTTATGCAGCGCCACAAATTCATTGTATTTGTTAATTCCGTCCATGCTGCGTGCAAGTTGCAAAGGCGCTGGCAGCGCCCGGCTAGTTCACATGGTCGGTATATTTAGGATGGCCGCATTTAAGCACAACAAAAAAATATACTAGCTACCAGCAAAATACTAAAGATCAGGACTATCAAAAGAATTTGTTTGAATAGTTAACGATTTAAAACAATTATCGATAGGCACAAAGTAAATTAGAAATGAGAATCAACCGCAACTCCTTTAGAAGAGTAACCCTTTAAATAGTAGTCACTCATCACTAGCTCAGCTAGTGGACAGTGCTGGTATTTATTTCAATGTGACAGCATTTTGCTTGGCAAATTTAAAACCAACTATAACTCATATGCCAGGGCTGCGTTATGTCGAACAGCTGTTTCACAAGTCTGCTTTTTGGTGAGCACATATAAATAAATGACAACAATTTACAATTTCACCATTAGAAAAAATTACACATAAGCAGCGGCCGCACATACAATCAGCTGGCCAGCTTAGAACAAAAATTCATAGTCATCACAACTCGACACTAACCGCAGCAGTTTTTGATCAAAGGGTTACCTTCGTCTATGCTAGACTAAATTTTTGCAAATGCTGCACCGTCGCAGCTATATGCTAGTATTATTCTAAATATTCCGTCTTCTGGCAAATTGTCAATATTAACAACAAAAAAAGAACCAAAAAGAACGAAAAAAAAAAAACTAAATGAGCGGTACACTGGCATTGCCAAAACACGCTGAAGGCGCTACAGATGTTGTGCTAGAGGCTCAGACCATGGACGTAGAGGTAAGCGAAACGGCGAGGCAAAAGGATTTTGAACAGCTAAACAAGAAACATTGATTTTTAAGACAAAAGGTCAAACAATAAATTGACAACGCTGAAATATGATACACATACAAACGTACATATGTACGCATGTATGTGTGTGTGTTCCTAGCTAATTGCGCAGTTTCAGTGGGCGCGATCGCGGTGCCCGTTAGGTAATCCACGCCCATTTGGCAGCACTTCCGGGCCAGAGCAGGCGAGTGAGACCAAGGCATGGAATTAAGTGGTTCCAGTATGTGTGACGTTTGTTTATATGTGCATATGTATGTGTGAGCATATGCACAACAAAGTAGCACAAACGAACGGGGCCTGATTTACAGTTATATTTACAATACTACGAAATTATTCATTTGTTTGGGCTTTTATTTTTTTCTCTCATATATTTCTGATCCTTATCAGCATGTTGATAAATCGGTATGTTTCTAAGTAAATTAGTCTCTCTTGGAATAATTCTAATAATGTTGTTATTGTCTTTTGTTACATGTGTAGAATTTGTTAATCTTAGCTCGGGAATTTAATGCTTTCCAAGCATATCAGCAAAATCTTATCAACATAGAGACTGCGACATCTCTCTGCAGGGGCTTAGAACTGTAAACGTTCTAATTTGATTTTAACAAAATTCCCTTTTAGATTTTGGTTTAGTCTATTTGACATTAGTCAAATAATAATAATAAATAATTGAAAGTTTTGTTATTTTTTTTTTTTCATTTTATAATTATGTTTTATATGTAGTAAAATTCTCGTGTAAACGTAAAAACTTGCATTTTAGGTTTCGAAAAATAACGGCTTCTTTCTATGGCAATGGTTATATAACTGGACATCGACTTCACCAACAATGCTGCGGGCCGTTGAGAAGAAGATACTTTCATATCTGAAGCTGCCGTATCGTGGCTTCTTTGTGGACATTGGTCCGGCTGTGGGCGAGGCTGACAAAATCTGGACGCTCAGCATGAATACGGAGTCCAAGGAGGTGCCGCTGGTACTGCTGCATGGCCTCGGGGCGGGCGTGGCTCTGTGGGTAATGAATCTGGACGCCTTTGCTAAGGATCGTCCGGTCTATGCAATGGATGTGCTCGGCTTTGGCCGTAGCTCCAGGCCACAATTTGCCAAGGATGCGCTTGTGTGCGAGAAGCAGTTCGTCAAATCTGTCGAGGAGTGGCGTCGCGAAATGAACATCAACGATATGATACTGTTGGGTCACTCCATGGGCGGTTTCATTGCCTCCAGCTATGCACTTAGCTATCCGGAGCGCGTTAGGCACCTAATACTGGCCGATCCGTGGGGCTTTCCCGAGAAGCCCGCCGACTCGACGAACACCAAACAGATTCCATTGTGGGTGCGGGCAATCGCGCGTGTCTTAACTCCCCTGAATCCACTGTGGGCGTTGCGTGCCGCTGGTCCATTTGGCCAGTGGGTGGTGCAGAAGACGCGACCGGATATAATGCGCAAATTCCAGAATACGATTGAGGAGGACATCAATCTGCTGCCCCAGTATATACACCAGTGCAATGCACAGCGTCCGAGCGGGGAGTCGGCTTTTCACAGCATGATGCAATCGTTTGGCTGGGCCAAGCATCCCATGATCCATCGCATCAAGGATGTGCGCAGCGATATACCAATCACATTCATCTATGGCTCACGTAGCTGGATTGATTCGTCGTCAGGCGAGAAAATCAAATCACAGCGCGGCGTCAAAATGGTGGACATCAAGATTGTGACCGGCGCCGGACATCATGTGTACGCGGACAAACCGGACGTATTCAATCGCTACGTCAACGAGACCTGTGATATATACAAAGTCAGTAGTGGAAAGCTGGCATCGCCATCCATCCAGCTCATACGGGAATCCACGGAATCAGATGAAGAGCACGAAGTGCCCATTTTGGGAACGGCAGCGGAATCGATGGAAATCAACGCGGATGCCGATGTTGCCCAAGGCATGACATCAACAGCAACAACGAATACAAGAACAACAGCGTCTGGGACGATGCCAGTGCCCAAAAACGAGCAATCATCGGTTTCAGCTATTAATTTAGCCGATGTGAAACGGAAATGAGAGCAACGTTCTTGCCGGCTTAAATTATAAATTTAGCTCTACTAACTTTGTGTCTATGTTATTTGCGTTTTTGCCTAGTATTAAATGTTGTCTTATCTTAGTCTTTAGCTTGTTATTCCATTGTCATTCTATTATTTACACAATCATTTCCCTGTGCCATAATCGCAACGACTCTTGGTCAGCGTGATTCAATGCTTGAATCTATTAATTACGTGCTCGAGCTACGGCTGCGTTACAAAGTCCAAGTTTTATTATGTTCTTCGACTGTTTCTTGGTTGACTTATGATAAACAATTGTTCTGGATACGTCATATATTTAACAACAGCGCCCGAAAGCGCGCTATGGCCAACCAGTTCGATCCGACCCAGTTCGTATCAGCTTCTCTGGTGCTGACGTCTGTCCAGCGCATGCGGAAGTCATCGACCTAACCCAGTGGCCTATAGAAAAATTGATTTCATTTGACTTTCAGCTTAGCTTATCACAATTAATCATGCATTGAAATCAACAAAAGCGCGGAATGTTCTTAAAAATAATTATATTCTGCGCTCTCACTAATCTCTCTTATTAACTTGCTCAGTTATTTACCGACTCGCTCTTTTACTTCCGAGTCTACTCTCTTCTAGAAGAGCAGGGTCTTGTTCACTTATGCACTTGCTCTTTCATGGGAATGCAAGTTCTCTCACTCTCACATGAGCACCATCTCTCAGCTACCACTAGCACCTTTCTATGCGATTTTCAAAAATGCATGTTATGGTTACAGCTTTTGTTAAGAGTTCTTTATATATGCAGTAACCTAAGTGCCTTGCAGCTTAGTGTCAATTGTTTATTTAATAAGCTTTGTATTCAATGAACAGTTTTCAGGCTTTTGCGCTATCAGCAAAGCTTATCTTAATAATATATGCAAGCATATATATACAAAAAATTAAAGCCCGAAACAATGTACATAGACATTTACATATAGTGCATCAGATCGGTTGTCTTTATTGCTGTCGGTCATTCAATCCGAGCAAAAACAGTGGCTGGCTCTCACACAATTTGCTCTCTTTATTGGAAAGCACAAAAAATTCGCAAACAAAGCAGTTGGCGAGCTTATCAGCGGCGAAAGTAAAAAACAAATATAATTGGCCGCCAGATAAGCAAAGGTCCATCGCATGACTAACAATGACGGGTCGCAGCCAAAACAAAAGACAGAATTATATGTAAATAAAATAGCGACCATTTTATAGACTACAATATTAATGGTGTAATTTAATTCTCAATTGCAAGAAGAGTCTATCGATTTTCGAATTACAATAAAATGTTAGCATATTTTTGTATAATATAATAGGTTAGCTTTGGGTTGACGCTCTATTTGGCATCGGCAAAGCCCACGCGATCGTTGCCCATGTCAAATTCGGTGTAGTATTTGCCAATGAAGACATCGCCTAGAATCCAGAGTGGTCCGTTTGGTGGCGGTATGTCCATGCCCATAAATCCAGACAGACAGATGGTCTTGCCCATTTGAGCAACACGCAAAATATAATCCTTGCCCTCCAGCTCAAAGGTTTTTCCGCCCAGCACAAACTTAATGACTGGCAGGTTGGGTATCATATCACAGGACACGATATACTGCAAGAGATTTACTGGCTTGAATGTGTTACCTTATCATATATCTAGACATTTCTTACCTGTCCGCCCACAATGGGCGTGCCACCAATAGCCTGATTGATAGAGGTAGCCTCTGCGACGGGCGCAGCAATCAGCGAGGTGCCAGTGTCGGCAATTATCTGGCAGCCGCCCTTGCACAGCTCCAGATTGTTAAGCTGAGCAGAGTCCATCTTGATTTGCCAATAGCCCTTGCGTGTTACCGGCAAATAGGTAAAGTCGCCCGTATAATGATTGGGATCGGAACCGCCAAAGATGATTTCACCACCCTCTGGCGCCTTGGGATCACGATTCAAATAGAACGAAAATACCGGCTGGGAGATCAAACCCTGCTCGAACATGGAATAGAATGGAGGCTTGACACCATCCACAGATATCGAACTGTAGCCCAGTCCGAGAATACCATCGAATTTGGCGGCGACAAAGACCAGACCCGGTTCGCTCAGTGCCTCGGCAAAGGTTTGATCCTTAATGTCCAGGCCGGCAATGTTGACCGTGTCGCTGGACAAATAACCCGACAAACTGCCCGAGCCATAGTGTATGGCGAATTCGGTGCCGTTCTTGCTATACGATGACGACTTGCTGGCATCGTATTTGTTGTGCATGAGGCACGCAATGTTGGTCAGGTGACATTTCTTCGAAGGCACCCACAAATTTGAGGAGCCTGTATCGAAAACTACCTTGAAATTCTGTGGCGGCGAACCAATCGAAATGGGGCCATAGTACTGAGCATCCAGATAATTGGAGAGTGGTTCGGGTGAGACGCCGCCGGCGCCACCATACTTGATGCGCAATTGCTGCAGCTCGGTGCCGACATCAGCGAAATGCCGGCGTGCGGATTGGAATTTATTTAACGGTACACGCAACAGTTTTGGTTCCGCAGTGACGACCCAGGCCAGGGCCAGGCACGCGCCAAACAGCAGCAAAGACTTCTGCATGGCCACTGTAAGCGATTTAAATGTTTTAACTTGTTAAATACACTGTCGACTGTTGGAATTCAACTGTTTCTGTTGCAGTTAATTAAATATTGCGGCGCAGCGAAAATGATTCAGCAAACAATATGTGCTAAATTTGCCCAAAAAGTCGCTTGACACTGCCAACCAGGGCTGGAACAGTTCAAAAGTGATTATGTTCATTTGACGAATCAGTTCTTTTTATAAATATTCAATTTTTTTTAAATATTGCAACTAAAGTTACAAATTCAAACGGTCCATAAATCAATAACACAGGCCTTATAGATTGCACATTGTTTTGTTCAAAAGGCTTGGAAGTTGTATATATATTTCGCAAATAATTGTTAAAACTAATCTTAAAATATCCAAAAACCCATTATTTCTATTGGAAAGTGTGCATTGCAATATTTATGTATAACAAAAGGGATATCTTTACAAGTGAGCAAATAGTTTCCAACATTTATAATTTTGCTTTATAAATAAATATATACCATTTTTAAAATGCATTTCAATTGCTTAAATTACTCTGGTTGAAATAACAGCATTTATACCCCTCTCTCTCAGTACTTGTAGCGATAGATGGCGACTCCGGCGACGCCAATTAGTATGGTACCCATCAAAAAGCCAAGTAGCTTTAACTGGAAGAAAGTTAACAACATTTGGCAAATAAATATAGTTCGTTGTGGATGAGTGTTTTTGCGACTTACTTTTGAGTTATCTACCAAGGGCGTCTTCTGTCTAATATTACTCTTCTGTTCCATTTTCTTTGCCTGGCCCAACATCTTCTGGTACATTTCCTTTTCGTTGTGTTCGTCGCGACGTGCTTTGATAAACAGTCGGGCCAGATCTGATTGTACAGATCGGTTGTCTGGTTCCAAAGTAGCCACTTTCTGTAACAGCTTAATGGCTCCCTGCGTATCATTCTTGCCCTCCAGCACCTGATAACGAGAGCCAGATAGATTAAGTCTTAAACTTGCCACGTGTTTAACTAGCACTCACTCTGCCCTTGCGGTATAAAGCCTTTGGGTTATTTGGCTGACAACGTAATACATTCTCCACGGACTGTAATGCGGCATCATATGCTCCGACTTTTATTTGTGCCATTGCCAAATTGTTATACACAATCAGTCGATCCTCCAAGAGGCTTTGCAGGTCACTGTTAGACAGCTGTTGGCAAAGATGAAGATATATATATATATAAATATTATATATTATGTGCATTTGAGAGAGTTTTAGTAGTCTATAATTCAATACCTCTAGATCTTCTTTGCCGAACTCTGCATCTGGATCCCCATCACGACTATCCAAATAGTCAAGTGCACGCCTGTACAGATGGATGGCATTATTGTACTCTACACGCTTATAATAATAATTGGCGCGCTCTTTTTTTCTGGCGCTGCGTTAAAGATTGATCATGATTAGTAACTATCTTAGCTTATCTTAGTCAGGTAGCTGGTCTTTGTCAACGCACCCATATTTACGAAGAACATCAAACGACTTGAGGTCTGAGAAGTCTTCAAACTTAACATCCACTAGCTCTACTTGGTAAACCAGCTGGAAAACAGATGTTTCACATGATACACTAAGAGAGTCACCAAATCTGGGCACTTACATTGGCATTAGGTGGTACAATAATTTCAGGTGGGTTCTCGGTTTTCAGGCCAATGGTGCCATAGCCAAAGCGTTGATCGACGTTGACCTGCGACACTTCGCCCACATGCATCATTGGTAGTACCATGTCAATTCCCTGGACCACCTCGAAATCGCCAACATGGCATTGGAAGCGCTCCTCCTTCTCGACAACGGTGCCATCCTCCAGTTTTCCGGTATAGGTAATGGTCACTAGATCACCGCGACTGGGACGCTTCGCGTTGGCTGATGCCTTTTTGATGATGCGTTTTATAAGCTGCTTGTTACCCAAAATATCGCATTCGATATCGTCGTCCGACTCATCCTCCTGCGTTGTGCCCTCAGCGTGACAGTCAATATTTGCAGATGCAACATCAGCTTCAGAAGTTTCAAAGTCGCTAACGGTTGCTTGGGCTGCACGTATATCCTTGGTATCATCGGCATTGGTTAGATCTTCAAAGGAGCTGCTGCTTGATTTTTCGACATCCATTTTTTAACTGTCGGATGTGCGTGTAAAACGTTGAAACAGGGAACAAAGGGCAACAAATGGGCCGAAGCGATGCTCACCAACCAAACGTAGTGCAATTTAGTACTAAATGTGGATAGACGGTCCTTGGCAACAACTGTTCTCAAAGTTGTAAACTTACAAACGGTTCTCGCACCGTAACAATCCAACAATTTTAGAAACTAATAACTTTTTTGGAACCAGTAATGTAAAATTCAGATTTGGAAATGATTACTTTCACAAGTTCGTTTGACATTTCACAGGGCCAGGGTTGCCAACATACACACAGGACGGCCAAAGTGTTTTGTAATTGGTAGCATGCTAATAAAAAAATTAAATTAAAATTTATTAAAACTAAGTTGTCGGTAAACAACCATTTACCACCCATAAAACTCTATGTGGTAGCAAAATAGTTGATTCATAAGAACAGATAATACAAATTTCTTAAATACTAAAAGTAATTGCCTGAGATTTTCGGACAGTCTGGCAACGCTGATCAGCTGTTGCAGTTCGCTTTGTGTTTTGTATGCATACGTTTCATTAGTAATTAAATCTTTTGCGTCCTAAAAGCAACACTCGAATAATGGTTAAAAAAAGTAAAAGTGGTTGTAAGAAAAGAGGTAAAATCCATAGGCACCGCCATAAAAAAGAGAAGCACCTATCCCCCCGTAAAAGCCGTAGAGCCCTGCTAACACTTTCATCAGCCCCAAACACGTGCCAAAAAATTGCAGAACCAGCGCTAGCTGAGCCCGCGCCAACATGTTCTGCTGCAGGTGGCCAAATGGACGTGAGTATTGTTGCAGTTAAATGTTATATTTTTATTTATAATTTCCGCGACGCGATTAATGGCGGGTCGTTCTGCATTTTTAGGGGGTGCTGCTGCAGATGCAAAAATACGTTCTGCGCACGCGTCAGGCCCCCAAAATCCAAGAAAAAAAAGATTTGTGAAAAACTGTGTGAGTTCCAGAACAAATTTCCAGAAAATTGAATCATTGCCATTTTGTGCAAGCAGGAAAATTGGCCAAAAAGTGTAACTAACCCCACAAAAAAAAAAAAAAAAAACCCAAATAATAACCATAAAAAAGAGATGGAACAAATCTGGCGTAATATATGTGCACACTATGATGTGCCCGAGGATGTGACCAACACCTGGTATGCTCGCATTGAGCAGCATCTGAGCGATGATAGTCCCACGCGCGCCTATCACAACTGGCAGGAGATGATGCAGCGCAAGCACGACCATTTGACCGACTGTGCGCCCAGCATTGCACTGGCCGCGTTCTTTCAGTATTATCATTTCGATGGCAATCGCAGCTGTGTGCAGGAGAATTGCGAGGTATTCGAGGAGTTTTGTCGCGATGCCATGATTGAGGATGTGAGTAGGCAACAACTGTTGATATATGATTGATGCAGCTTTTAAATGATTATAAACACAACATAGGAGCACGCCAAGTCGCTTGTGTGCAATCTGTTGGGGCGCAAGACGCCCGACAATGAGGTCACCTGGTCGCACGATGACGAGGCCAATTTGTTGCAGGATGTGGATCTGGTTGTACTTGCGTATGTATTTCACAAAATACACTATTTGCACACTGTACCGACCTGTACCCAACCAACAGAGACATAAAGAGTGCATTGCAATTGTGCGAGGCCTCTTCGTTTCCTATATTGTATATATAATCCTTGTCAGGTCGACTAATTGAGTCTTGCCTATTAGTTTGTCTGTATTATAAGCTTCAAGAGCTAGCGACTCGATTTTCAATGTACGCAGGTTCTCGAATATCAGCAAAAGCTCTAGTTTTTTCAGTTATCGATAACCCTTTTCGATATCGAAAATAATCGATTCTCAGCCGATTTTCTAAAATATTTTTTGAATAACTTCTTCGACTCAAATTTATACCCAGAAAATTTCAAAACGACCAAAAAGTTATTAAGAAATTTATTTTCCATAGTGTAAAGGTAAAGGAAAGTATATATATATCTGTAGATATATTTAGAAGAACTATTGAGTGTATGTTCTGGAGCTGGGTACAGGGTATTGCCTGGTCGAGCACCCTCGACTAGGGCACACTAAACATCAGTCTAATGTTGCTGTTCTGCCACGTTCAGTGCTCCGCCGGAAGAATACAAGCACTACACTCAGCTGCTGCGTCACGAGTACGCCAATCTGGATGATGAGAGCTACAAAATGATGCGTGTCAAGGTGCTGGAGACATTGCTGCTCATACCAGCGATATATGCCACGCCTGAATACCATGAGAAGTACGAGGAGCTGGCACGTGCCAACATACGCAATGAGATTAGAGAGCTCAAGCAGTGAACGCTTGACCAGACGGTGCTCAAGGGTCAAGGGGGGTTCACAGTCAAAGTATCAAATTTTCAGCTTTTATCTAATATCTGTGTTGCCTTTTGTAACTAAATGTTGTCATCTGTGTTGTGTTTAAGTAACAAAAAAAAAAAAAAAGAAACATATGATTGAGACACACGAAATCGATTAGATAAAGAAATTTCTTGTCTAATTGATATAAATGATCTCAACTGAAATGGAAAAGCGAAGCGCCAATCATAATGTAGTAGAATACATTTTCAACTCTTTTAAGTGTCTAGCCACAGAGGTATTTTAATCAAAATGAAATGTACTCAAAATTGTAACAGTTTTGATATATGATAATAATTGATATCCAATATGTAATTCAATTCAATAAATTTGGTGTATATAAAAACAAGCTGATAATCTGTAGTTTTACTCAAAGCACCTGAGTGTAAACTCTGTTAAATGAAATGCAAGCGCAGTAAGTATGAAAAGTAGCTAATTGTTTACTTTTCAATATGTCAAACAAAAACTTCAAATACCGAAATTAATACGCATATATTTCTCATCTGACATTAGTATCAAATTACCTACGACGCTAGTACCACAATGCCGCCCACTAAACCTCAATTCCAAAAGTTTAAAGATGATCAAATTAAGGTATGCAGCAAACTAAAACTTACGATCATTTGATTTTTAACTAAGTGTTACTTTCAGAAGCCGCTGAAGCGCTTGAATAACACAAACCCCAAGCCGAATAGAAATAATTACGCGCAGAAACTGGCAATTTTAATAAAACGCCGAGCATTTAATACACCATACAAGGGCGCATTAATTGCAGCCGGTTCCAAGCGAAAATTGGACTTTCAGCGTGGGAAAAACCAACAGACAGAACAGCCTCTACCAAAACCAAAGTTTTATCGTAACAATCAGGTAACGAAGAGCTCAATTATTCAAACGCAATATTCTCTAAAGAATTAAACAAAATGCAGGCGACGGGCTCAATGAAATTGGAGGAGGAGGAGGAGGAGGAGGAGGAGGAGGAGGAGCAGGTGGAGGAGATTATTGAAGAGATTGAGAGTAGCGATGAGGATGATTGCATTGTATTGGAACCGAATGTGGCTAAAATCAACATTGACGATGATTCAGAGGATGAGACGATGAACAAGGAGCCAGCAAACAGCAATGCAATGTATGATGATAATCCGACATTCAGTCGCTTTGAGGTGGATAGGAAGCGAGAAATTCGCTTGTGGGAAAGTTTTTCAAATAGCTCAAGCCATCCGGCAGCGTATCCCGTAAAGAGCGCTAGTCCAGCAACAAACAATGATACTTGCATTATAATTGATGATAGCTTTGATAATTTGAACAGGAATCATAGTCCTGTTTGCATTATTGATGATCGCCGAGATGCTGCGGTGGCCAGCGTAAAGAAGCCGCCGACGATAAAGCCAGATAATACATTAGATGATAGTGTAATATTTGTTCAAGAAGACTTTATACCTCTGTCCAACGACAGATGCGACGATGGCAATGGCTCAAAGAGGAAACGTCATTTGAAATCTAAGGAAGATGGTTCTAAATTGAACAAAACACCAAGGATGACCACACAGCGTATGAACGAGAGTCTCTTTACCACAACGGAACGCAAAAAACTGGCCGATTATAATAGCAACACATATAATCCAGGCATGGAAATGAACGGGCCCGTCTCCCATAAGCGACCCATCATCATCGATGGCAGCAATGTGGCCTTTGGGTGAGTCGCCCAGCTCTTGACTAAATATTCATTTTATATTTAATTCAATGTGCAGCCATGGTTGTTCCAACATATTCTCTGCGGAGGGCATCAAATATTGTGTGGAGTACTTCCAAAAGATGGGACACGATGTCAAGGCTGTCATACCATTGTTTCGTCGCAATCCCAACAAATCTTCCAATCCGGCGCTGCTCGATCAATTGCACAAGGAGGGCAAAATTGTGTTTACACCCTGTAAAAATCTGCCCAACCAACAGAGCATCAGCTACGATGATCGGTGCGTGATGAGCCTAATCCACGTCTGGATTATGCTCAATAACATATCTATATATATTTGTTTTCAACGAATTATCTTTCAGCTTTATACTACAATTGGCGTATGAACGCAATGCAGCGGTCGTTTCCAATGATAATTATCGAGATCTAATAACTGAAAATGTGGCATTCAAAAAGATAATTGAGAATCGAGTGATTGGCTATTCATGGTGCGATAATATACTTATACTACCCAAGGATCCCTACGGTAGATTTGGGCCACCGTTGGCTGAAATTTTACGTTGTTAGAGTTGAAAGAGTTTTTGTTTATCGTTAAATTTAGTGTATTATAATTTGTATCAAATTAAATATAAGATAGTACTTATACACTTGAAATGCATTAAACATATTAATTAGATTCTCGGCGTAACTGAAACGACCGTTGTTGTGGATATTGTGGATATTGTGGCTGTGGGTGCTCCTGCTGCTGCCATGTCCACGGTGCCCTGATAATCCGGAGGCGGCTCATTCAAAGCTGCTGCCAGATTCGAATTGCTGCAGCCCAAATCGGTAGCGATGGTCAGCGTGGAGGCGCCCATGTTGCCCGGCTGCTGCTTCCCATTATGGCTGATGTTAAGGTCATCGTAACTGGGCGGCAGATCCATGCCTTTGGGCAAGATGGTCATGTCGTTATCAGCTTGAATGCAAACGCTGTTGTTGTCCAGGCTTGTGCTGTTGTTGGCGACGCTTATTTCCATCTCGCGGCGTGCTGTTGGCGGCAAGGTAAATAGGTTTATACAAGAATATCTATTTCCAGGCTTATTGATATGCTAAATACACATTTTCCTAATTAAGTTATCTTATCTGTTATGTCCGTTGAGTTCAAAACGTGATTTATCGACTTGTGCTAAAAAAAAGCTGGTCACTCTGTTATCGATAATTCTGCGCGCTCTTTCGCGCTCTTATCGCGCTGCATACGCGCCTTGAACAGCTGAGCGTCAGTTTAGTTTCGCGCTGCCGACACAGCGGCAACAGTTTTAAAGCTGCCTTTCGCGTTTTTAGTGTAAGTGCTAGCAACAGTCACTAACAAACAGCCACATGTATTGCAACTAATACACACTGAACATACGCACAGCTTGTAAGTGAAACGATTTGGCCAAGAAGTTTGGCAAAAATATATAATTCGATTGGTCATTTATGTAATGGACAAACAATTGCTGACGTTGTTCGGTCAATAAATGGTGAAAGTGGTTTTTGGGGGAAATATACGTATGTAAATGTGACTTAATGCAGGTGCAACAGGTTTTGGGTCAAGCAGCTTAAGTTAATCAATTAACTTGATGAATATTAACAAAGTGCAAAATGTATGATAAATGGGTTTTTCGTTTTGGCAATACAATTATGAGTGAAAGTTCGTCGCAAAGATTTAAAGGCTTAGTGTAAAATATTTGGCGTTGCTTAAAAAGTTGAATCCAACTGAAACGAAGTTCAAATCAAAAGCTGAAGCACATGTTAAATAAAAACAAAGTTCATGCCCAAATGCTGGTCCGTTCAAGCTTCTCAGTCCAAAGGTTCTTTGGCCATGCTGAACTAGTTCATTGGCCATGCTGAACTTGTTCTTTGGGTCGCTGGTGAAGGGTTAACACTAAAACGGAATGACAACCTGTTGACTTAACGGTTCATTGCGCACAGGCCGCGCTGTCAGTCCCAATTAAAGAGTATCAGTTTAATCTTTGCAGCCGAACTGTGCTGTACCCGTGCCTTCCGAACCTGCCATAGATGCTGCGACGCGTGCTGGGCTATGGCGTCCTGGGCGCTGGCCTTGTCAGCACCGGTTTGAGCCTGCATACAAATGACTATGAGATCAACTCGCTGGGCATTGTGCGGCTGACGCGTTCGGCCTGTGCCGTGGTCGACGTGGCGCTCACCTACAAGCGGGAGCTGTACTACAAGGAGTGGGACAAGACGACGCCCGAGTACAAGGCCGAAAAGAGTCGCGTGCACAAAATCGCCGCCGAGAAGCTGCTGCAGCTGATCTGCACCAATAGGGGCGTCTATATCAAGGTGGGTCAGCATATCGGCGCTCTGGAGTACCTCTTGCCCAAGGAATTTGTGCAGACAATGAAAGTGTTGCACTCGGACGCGCCACAGAATCCCATTGAGGATTTGTATAAGGTAATCAGGCAGGACTTAAAACGCAATCCGGAGGATATATTCGATAGCTTCGAGCGTGAGCCACTGGGCACCGCCTCATTGGCGCAGGTGCACAAGGCGCGTCTAAAGACGGGCGAAATTGTGGCGGTCAAGGTGCAACATCCCTATGTCAAGGGCAACTCGCGTGTGGACATGAAGACCATGGAAATGGCTGTCAAAGTGCTGGCGCGCATATTTCCCGACTTCAAGATACAATGGCTGGTCGAGGAGTCCAAGAAGGTGAGTTGGCAATGACAACTATGGATTATCGTTTTAAAAAATGCATTTCGTTACAGAATCTGCCCATTGAGCTGGACTTTCTCAATGAGGGCCACAATGCCGAAAAGGTAGCCGAGCACTTCAAGAAGTACAGCTGGTTGCGTGTGCCCAAAATCTATTGGGACCTGAGCACATCACGTGTGCTGGTCATGGAGTATCTGGAGGGCGGGCATGTGACCGATTTGAAGTACATCAAGGATCACAAAATTGATAGCTTCGCGGTCGCCAGCCGAATTGGTCAACTCTACTCGGAGATGATCTTCTCCACGGGCTTCGTGCACAGCGATCCACATCCGGGCAATATACTTGTGCGTCAGACACCCAAAAACAATCTAGAAATAATACTGCTAGATCACGGACTCTATGCCAACCTGAGCGACAAGTTTCGCTATGAATACTCCAAGCTCTGGCTGAGCATACTGAATGTCGATCGCAAGTCAATGCGCCAGCACAGCGAGCAGCTGGGCATCAAGGGTGATCTGTACGGCTTGTTTGTGTGCATGGTGACGGGTCGACCCTGGGACACGCTCATGCAGGGCATTACCAAAGTCAAATATTCCAAAGAAGAGGTGAGCTGCGCACTCAATTAAACAAAATCCAGTAATATTCGAATACCCTTTCGTTTGTCTTTTGCAGAAGAATACGCTGCAGATAAACACATCGCTGGTGCTGCCCCACATTTCGGATGTGCTGGAGCAGGTGGATCGCCAAATGTTGCTCATACTGAAGACAAACGATCTGATACGCGGCATTGAGGCGACGCTGCGCACACAGAATCGCATGACCGCCTTCTGGGTGATGTCCAAGTTCTGTGTGCAATCATCATATGCGGAGCAGCGTGCCCAACAGACGGTGGCTGCCAAACGCTGGCATTTGCAGCTGCGCGAACGCTGGGAGCTGTTCAAGCTAAATATCTACTACCTCTATTTGGGATTGATTAACTTTGGCTTCCTCACCGCGCTCAAGCAGGTGCTCTAGTCGGCTGCAGTTGTTCGTCCCGGTATTGAATTAAAGTACAAATTAAAGGGAAATCACATTTACCTCGTTCTCTCTGCAGGGCCAGCCTGCGTGAGTTCTCCTGACGCTTGCGCTGCATGGAACTCTTTTTGTTTTCGAGAGAGAGAGAGTGAGAGAGACAGAATACACAATTAGCTATTGGAGCATAGGCCAAACTGTTAGGATTAAGTTACCATTATGATTGCAAATGGCATCAGGATGACAAACAGAAATAGGAGCACTATATAGAAGGCATAGCCCGAATAGAAGTACACATAGCTCGGCGACGGTGTGTAAACGGGCACATACGGTGCGTCGCCATATTCCGGATACGCTGCAGTGGTGCTGGTGGTGCTACCCGAATACGAGCTGCTCACAATGCTCGACACGGTGCTTGTTGTTGCATTAAATGCTGCTGCAGCTGCTGCTGCTGCTGTTGTTGTTGCGGTCGCCATTCGTATCGGACTTGATTTCGAATACAAAAATAGTTTGGCACTAGTCTCGTTTCACTCAAAGTGTCCGTTCGAACTGAATTGAACTGAAGTCGCCGAAAATAAATTGATGGGCCCCGGCGACCAGTCATCATGGGTCAGGCACGGCTCACATATTTGCTTTGTAATCATTAGCTGATAAAGTTGACAAAACCAGTGCCTAGCCTGGGCTTAAGTTCGGTGTGCTTTTCTCTGCCATGCATGCCATATCTCGGGGTTCGGGGCGGGGGCCACAACTTTATCTAATGAGGCACTATGATAAATGTGTGCAAATGTCACACAAACTGCGTGAATGTGTATCTATATATATATAGACTATATCTGTATAAATATGTATGTAATTGCCTGTATCGTATTGTTTTTATGATTTATGGCAAGTTTTCCATTGTCAAGACGTTTGTTTCGCTTCTTTTTTTTTAAGGGTCGTCATATTAGCTTTAGGGATGGGCTTCCGGTTATGAGAAACGCGCACGCATAGGCTCGGGTTTAGTTTTAATTTGGACTACCATAATAAAATTTATGTTAATTATAAGTTAAACTAACGTGTTTTCGACCGTTTTTTCGATATTATCACATGCCACTATGTTTGTAGTAATTAACCAATTTTAAGGCAATCACTAGAGTAATTTCATATTTATAAGTTAATTACTCGTAAGAATTTAAATTACTTGATAAATTAGGGCTATAATTTTTGAGTAATTGTATCTTAACCATGTAATTACTTGAACGAATGCCTGTAATTACATGTAATTAACATGAGTTGATGTAATTACTTGAGTAATTGTAAGAAGTAAAGTAATTGTGCATTCACAATTACATTTACTCAAATAATTGTGACTTGCCAGTGTAATTACTTAAGTAATTGTGCCTGGAAAGTTTAATTACTTGAGTAATTGTGCCCTCCCATTAAATATACCTAAGTATACCTAAGTAGTTAAACAAAAAATGTACAATTACTTGAGTAATTAAGCGCACGATGTTTAATTACTTGGGTAATTAGCCCAGCTAAGCTGTCAATTATTGTAATTCCAGTGATATACCCGCCTTAAAGTCAACTCATTTGAATTGAAGCTCGCACAAAAGCACGAGACACGCCCATCTCTAAACGTGTTGTCGGAGTGCAAGAAACTAGTGTAAATATTTGCCGATTATGTTTGCTCACCTTGTTCGATTTGCGTTGCCTCCTTCAGTCGTTTCAGCAGGTAAAAGCGATAGGCAATCAAAATGATCTATAATTCAATGTCAAGACGTTACATTAAAATAATTGTATTATTCATAATGATAATAACAACAATAACTTACGCGTATGATGAAGAGACAAAAGCATATTACGGCCAGGGTAATTAGCAAATCATCCGCTGCCACGCCCATTTTAATGTAACTTTATCTATATAACTATAATTTAGATTTTCTTTGTTTACAGATACAAAAGAAACGCAATTCCGTTGAATTGCGTGGAAATCGAACAAATTTCAGTAGTAGGATGATTCACAGTAAGCCCTGGCGCATGTCCAACGATAAGATATGAAAATCTGCTACCAGTTGCTGGCATTTGATTATATTTTAATACATTTGCCGCGATTCTACAACACAAATCGATTAACTTTGGCGACGATATGAGGACAACTCCAATTGGCTGGCGGATTGCGAATGGATTTCACAGCCTGTGCGTGCTAATATGCTTATTAATATTATTAACCAATTTTATACACTATCCAAAGGTTATCTCAATTTTGTCATGCAATGTGCGACATCTGCCAGCCCAACAATTTAGCCCAAATTATTCAGGTATGTATAAACTTGATCTTGATTTAAGAGTTGTTATAGCGTAGCTCTACTGTCTGTCTGTCCGTATATTGCTTTGTCAACTAATGTCTCAGCTTAAGGGCTTTTTGTTGTTTTTCTCGAAGGCAGCCGGATCGGTCTACTATATCATATAGCTAGAAAAACCGATCCCTAATTAGGTTCTTGCCTGAAAAACTCTAAGATATTTTGCTTAAACTTGCTTTCAATCAACATCGCATCTACTATATCATACAGATCTATTTGTAGAATCGGTCGAAACTTTTGATAATTGAGTTTTTCTATGGAAAACTTTGCGATTTTTCAAGGTATTGATATTTATATATAGATATTGCCAGATATTGCTATCAAACTTATCAAATCGGAGTTCTACATTATATTATACACTATATTATATGGCTACTTTGAATATTAGCTGTCGGTTGGCAGCAAAGTTTTTCCTGCGAGAGCTTTGCCAAACATTGTAGGGTATTTAGTCTTCGGCATAGTTAGATGTTCCCAATGTTTGCTTATCAAACAATTCCAAGCATTGTACATCTGCCGCACAGCTGCCAAATGCCAGGCAAGTGTATCAAGTTTTCGACTTGCCGCAGTTAAACGATTCGTTTTTTATACTCTGAACCCATTTAAAATGGGTATAAGGGTATTTGTGCAAATCCAAATGTATGTAACAGGCAGAAGGAAGCATCTCCGACCCCATAAGGTATATATATTCTTGATCAGCACCAATAGCCGAGTCGATCTAGCCATGTCCGTCTGTCTGTCTGTCTATCTGTCCTATAAGAGCTAGAGACTTGAAATTTAGATGTAGGTGCTCCTAGCTCCCGCGCAGATCGAGTTTGTTTCCGATAATCGATAACTTACTCCGTTTCCAAGCAATCGATAAAAATCGATATCGATATCCTGTTTTTTGGGCAATTTTGATAAATAATAAGAGCTAGAGTCACCAAACTTGACATATAGCTTCTAAAATAGAATATATATATATGAATTTGATGTTGGAAGAAGAGGGTTCAGGGTATCCCTTAGTCGTGAGCTGCCGTCTAGAATCTCTTACTTGTTTTTTTAGATTTTTTTTCTGCTTGTGCTTCTGCTTTTTGTGGCATTGCGTTATCGCTGGGTTTTTGCTCTCGGCCGCGCTGCCACTTCAATAAGCAAATTGCAATTTTTGCTGGCCCGCTTGGGTTATCGCTGTGCAAACCCGCCAACTGGCGAGACGTGCTGTCTGTTTGCCACGCCCCCAGCCCCCGCCCCCCTTCCTGACACACACACCTGCCTGCCCCATTCACCTGCCAGAATCGCAAATGCGTAGCCGAGCGCCAGTTGCAGTCGTTAACCGTTAATTAAAGTGAATGGCCGCTTGGCTTTTTGGCTGGCATGCACCTTGACCCGGCCTGCACAAACACACCCACACACACACACACACACACGCACACGCACACACATTTATGATTATCGCTCTTTTGTGCATTGCGCTGTGAGATTTTTGCCGAGTGGCTGCTCATTTGCATAACGCGCGGCTCGAACATAAATTATGGCTGAGCCGGTTCGCACCTGGGCGAAATTCCTTTTGTTGTTTTTATTGCATTACCCACACACACACACACACACACACACACTGTGTCAAGCTGTCTGCGCCAGTCTGTGTGTGTGCGCATCTCTTCTGGCTTGTGGTCTTACATTATGCCCAGCATTAAGACAATTCGCTTTTTACATCAAATTTCTTCTACTTTCTTTCAAAAACAACAAATATTTGCAATTCTAAAACAAAAACCTTTATAAAAATGCCCTTTTCTATACGTTAAACTGCTTTTGATGGGAGTTACAATTTTTATCCTCAGGATTAATTTTGCAGCCAACAGCTAAACCACATGCCATATATTTGAATAGATATAATAGATTACCTTACTTCAGTGACAACAAATATTTGCAATATGAATTTGAATATTTTCAATCTCGAACATTTAATTCTTCAACTATGCAAAGCTCAAACCCCAAGTTGAACCTTGAACATTTGGTTTTGTTTAAGTATATTTAATTGAAAGACATTTTGCTTTGAGTTTTCAAACATATATTTTCTGATTTGAAATCAATAAAACGATTAAAAAGCACCAGATACAAGAAAGTTTCTCCAATTCGAATTACTCACATTAAATATTTCATTATTATATATATATATATATATATATATATATATATGCGTATGTATATATGCATGACTAACATCAACATTCATCATTTAAATACCAGTTAATATTTAGCTTCATGTTACAAGCTAACTTCATAATATTTCTAGATTTTGTTTAGGGTTTCATTCTATTTGTTTTTTATTTTTTTTTTGTTGATAAGTTGGCACAGTATTTGGTTTTTTTTCTATTGAAGTGGAAATCAAATAAACAAATACCATAAAGTGCAATTGCGTACAGGATATTGTGTATATGACGATTATATTTTTCTATTTGATTTCAATTCTCTTTTATATCATATTCATGCGTTTTTCTTGTTTCAATTTGCGCACTCTTAACTTTAGTTAAATAAAACGTCATGCCCCTCTGCCTGTTGACTGTTGCCTTTGGCGTGTTGCAATTTAATTGGAAAACTAAATGAAAAGCACACACACACACACACACACACACACATCTGTTGTGTGTGTACTATTTGCACGCACTGTTTGAGTGTGTCAGATGCAATTAACATGCTTTATCCAGTTGAAATTTAATTAGCTGCGTCTTGTTGTCATTTTATATATATTTTTCATTTGGTTTTCGGTTTATCATCTGGAAATGGAAAATTGTATATAATTATTATGACAATTGTAATCAGCAGTGCATAAATATCATAACAATTTATAAATAATTTATTTAAATTTCTTATATGCGCTGCCTTTTATCTTACACACACACACACACACATTCGTGCACACAAAGCCATCTTTTTTGTTCATCAAAAATTCATAGATCCATTTTTTTCTTTGGCCTTAAATCACGCCTCACTGACTGCGCCCCGCGGGCGAGAGGGGAGTGGTTTTTTTCCAAATAATTTCCTTTATATATATATATTGCATAATTTATGATCTATTCGAGCTATACATATGTGCACAAATGCATATTCTATAATTTATATATCTATTTAAAACATATTCAAATGCTTTTGTCGACGGCGCCGGAAAGTATGCTACGAAAAAATGTGCCGCAACAAAGGCCATGTCACACTTATAATACCCTTTGAGCCAGGGTATATGCGAATTGTTTGGGCATGTTTTGGGCAAAAGTGACATTTTAATTAATTTAAATGCGTATTTCTTGTTAATAGTTGCGTGTTGATTTTAAGCTAACAATGTTAACTGGAATGTCAAACATATAAGACCTTAATCAAATGTGTGCACACACACACACGCACACACACTCGCAGACATTGTAAGGTAAACTGCAGAAATTGTGGGCGAAACAGAAGACACAAATCAATTTGCATGAGGATTGAAACTTTGTAACTTGCCGCAACCAAACTTTGTTTTTGTATGTGTGTGTGTGTGTTCGTGTGTGTGTGTGTGCTGCTAGGTCTAGCACTGTCTTAAATTTGAAATTCAAATTTATGAAACTGCAGCAGTCAAGGCACCTAGATTTTCCCTCACACACACACACACACACACACACACACACACAAACTAATATATGTATGAGCATTTTAAGAGCCCACACTCACACACACACACACACACACACATGCGCGCACAAATTTGTGGCATTTGCTTGATGCCTTTACAATTAGATAGCATACTTTTTCGGGCCGGGCGTCCCCCACACGTCACAAAAACCTTTTTATGTGGTGCAAATTTTCGTGAATAGTCTGGCAACCCTGCCCCCGTCTTTGTGTCCATTCGCTCGTTGTAAGTCGTTCAGCTGGAATCAAGTTGTTAGCACAATTAGTGTGGGCGTGTCTGTGTCTGTGTGGGCGTGGTTGGGGGTGGGCGTGGGGAGGGGGGGCGTTAGCATGTTGCGGCTTTCATTATCGGCTACGTGCCTCATTTTGTCCATGAATGTTAAGTAAAATTAATTGCGTAGCCGCTGGCGCCAAAGTGTGCGAATTGTTGCCGCTTTGTTTGCTTATTTTAGATTAAAACAACCAAAAACAAAAATAACAACAGAGCCGCAAAAGTTTTTGAATAATTTCATTAATATATTTTGGCAAAATTTGCCGGCGCGTGAGATATGCAAGTAATTTTCACACACACACACACACACACACACACGCATACTGCGGCTGCTTATTATAATTTATAATTAGCTCGAAAAATGTATCAACAAATTTACTTTGTTTGTTTTTTCGCGTTACCTTCGCCGCTTTTAAGCCAGGCGCTTTATAAAGTCAACTACATCATTATGTGCATATTACAGGGTAGCGCGTAGTCAGTCTGTTCGGTGCGGCCACTTGAATTTGTTTTGTTTATCTGAGGCGAGGCAAACATTTTTAATTATTCTTTTAGGATATTGGCAAAAAGTTTGCACTTCGCAGCATATTGGCCAAATAGGAATAATAATAAAAAAAAAAAATTAAGGGCCAAGCGGTCGAGTTATAGCCAAGGCACACAAAAAGCAGGTCAACAAAAATGTTGTACAATAAACTTTAATGAATTACAATTTGCACTGGCAATGGCAAGGCAGGGAGCAGGGGGGGGGGGAGGTGGGCTGTAAATCCTTGAGCAAACAGCAACTGTAAAAAAAAAAAGCTGAAGCGAATGTAAAAGGAAATGAAAATATGTCGACGGAAATGAGCATTGACGCCGTCTCCGCTGCAGCCTGGCGGGGATTGGGGACTGGGGATTGGGCATTGGGCATTGGACTTGTGTTTCTGGTCAAGTCAAGTTGCCCGGGCGCTGATTTTGCTCCAATAAGGCGAGTGGGGCATTAAGTTGCCGTTTCATCATTGTCAACAGTCGCAGTCGCAAACAATAAATATTGTAAACAATTTGTTCTGCGCCTGATGCCTGATGCTTAATGCCTGTGTGCGTGTGTGTGTGTGTGTGTAGAAATGCCAGTGCAAATATTTGAGCACGCCCAAAGAGGAAATAAGTTTCGAATGCGAAATCCGCAAACCCTTCGTGCCCATAAATTATCATCATCAGCAAATGGCTGCGGCTGCGTTTACAATTTCCAATTGCCGCATTCCCAAATCCCCCTGCCAGCATCCCATTCACCACAGTGGCGTACACGTGGCCAATGTGGCATTAATTAAATCAAGCATCATTAAGCGGCTGTGGCACCAGTTACTGTGTGGGCGTGGCGCCTGTCTCTCTCTCTGGTTGCATTCGAATTTGCCGTCTAGAGCGGCACAGTGTGCACGCATTCACATTGGCGAGCAATTTATCGATGTTTGCTTTTTCAATGAATATCGCTTATCGATATTTGTCATTCCATTTTGCCGCTCTTTGTGCGTGCTATCTCGCTCGCACGCACGATCGCGGCGAAGCGCATTTCGCTCGCTGCCCTTTATCTTCGCCTTTCCTTCTTGAGTTTTTTTCTGCTCTTGCTTTTCAGTACGGTCTTAGCGCGCATTATATGTGAATGGCGGGAATAAGTCGCAATATCGAGTGTCTGTCGTGAAAAAGTGCAACAATTTATTGTCTTAGATATGTATTCGCAACCACAGTGCATTCGGTTAATTGAAAAACCTCCCCCAACACCAATTGTTACGCGGAATTTCATTTAGTGGAGTGCAATTTTATTTGTGTTGCCTGTTGTTTTACCTAACTGGCCATTAAAGTGTGTGTTAAATGCCCAATTGGACTTTTAAAGCAAAGATGCCACAACTTCCCATCGAGTCTTAGACTCCAAGTAAGTACTGTGTGAATTTGGAATGTAATTTCCAATAAAAAAAAATTGGCTTTATGTGGACATAAAATAATTTTAAGCAGCCATATACATACATACAGACATGCATATTAAATAGACATACACACATACATACATACATATGTACAAGTATGCATGGCCTTGAGACTGCTTAAAAATGCCCAAGCAGCAGGCACGGACATTTTGGGACTTTTTTTTTTGGGAAATTTACTTTAGCGCATATAAATTAAATGGCAACATAGAAAAATTTTATTACATTCTTCTATTATGTGCTTTATATGCAAGTGCATTTTTCTTTAGCCAAAATGCATTGTCTTTGCACTACGCCTGGCAGCTGGCCAAGACCAGTAGCAGCAAAAGGCTAAGTGTGTGGCAAGGGGCAGGGGGCAAGGGGCAAGGGGCAAGGGGAGAGAAGCGCCAGATGCGCTTGTTGGTTAAAACAACAGAAAATGCAATTCGAAGAGGCATTTTGTGTGTGGATGGCGCGCACACACATTCTCCAACCAACTAGGGGACACACAAACACACACACACACACACACACACACACACACACACACACACACAAACACACACACAGTGCCGTTTTCTTTGGCTTAAATGGGCTTAACGTACACAATGTCTATTTATTGCGCCGCTTGTTGAGGCCATTTTTCACTAGCGAGGATTTTGCCACGCTCGAGCGCTTGAAATTTCATTTGCTAAATGTAATTCGATTTAAGTTTAAGGCATTCACCAGGCCACATTCGCCATTTGCTTTTAGCCATTTGCTTTTTGCCGTTCGCTCTTGTGAATGGCAATGCATTTTTTATAGCACTTAGCTCATTGTAAAAGGGCAAATGCAGTAGACAAATATAAAATTCCTTTTTTTTGCTTAAAGTTTTTTTTTTTAACATTAATAAACATTGTTTTATGTGCGTGTTCTTTGTTTCTCATCATGGCATTACTATGTAAATATTTATAAATTTAATTTGTCTTTGAAAGCGCCTTAAAGCTCAAAGCTCAAGAAGCTCAAAGCTCGATTAAGTTGATTGCAATTTTATGCATTTTATTATACCCTGGACCCATTAAAAATGTATTTGTGCAAAATCCAAATAAAGTATATATATTCTTGATCAGCACCAATAGCCGAGTCGATCTAGCCATGTCCGTCTGTCTGTCCGTCCGTCCGTCCGTATGTATGAACGCAAGGATCTCAGAACCTATAAGAGCTAGAGACTTGAAATTTTAGATGTAGGTGCTCCTAGTGCCTGCGCAGATCGAGTTTGTTTCCGATAATCGATAACTTACTCCATTTCCAAGCAATCGATAAAAATCGATATCGATATCCTGTTTTTTGGGCAATTTTGGTAAATAATAAGAGCTAGAGTCATCAAACTTGACATAAAGTTTCTAAAATAGAATATATATATGCATTTGATGTTGGAAGAAGAGGGTTTAGGGTATCCCCTAGTCGGGAGCTCCCGACTAGAACCTCTTACTTGTTTTTTGCTAGTTTTGCTTTAATATTAATCTACCGAACACTTCACTTTGCCACTTCTAACTGATGGAAAATGTATTTGATTATTTTGTGCAGTTTTTAAGCTTTTAGCTGAACTATTTGTTCTTCTTCTCATTTTGTTTATGGCCAAAACATTCGTTTGCCAGTGCAATTTCTCTGATTTGGCTGCTCTCAATTAAATTAAAAATTTGAAAATGGGTTTTATTTTTTGTGTTTTATTTTTTTTTGCCAAAAAGCGCAGCACTTGGTTCAAGCACGGAGCATCAAATTGTTTTGCATATTGCTTTGTGGCGCCGCACAAATATGGAAATTGCACTTGTCCTTGTATCTGTGTGAAATCAAATTTGCCGAGTGGGGGAGGGGGTGGGGTTAAGAGTAGGGGATTGTAGCCAAAAAATGTTGCGCCAGCGCGTTCGTATACAACAAT